ACTTCGAGTTTTTTTTCATGGATTTGTTGATAATGCTATATCAGGATACACAGTGCTCGATTGTCAAGATAAATATTTGAATTGAAACATACAAGCAAATCACTTGAAGTGATCATTGAGGGCAACCAATTGCACTTCCATCATTTCCTTGTATTCCTTCTGCAACCACTTTACTAACACCTTCTTCCGCAAACCATTCGAATCTTCGTCTACTAGCCACAAAATCTTTTGTACGCATTTGGTTGCTCTGTTGCACTTCGTTTTTCCTGCCCTGCATTTTCTGATAGAACATCAGAAAAATTTGGCAGCTAAGTTGAATATAATTGAAACATTAATACTTATTTATTGAAGTTACTTTCTGTGAAAAGACCTCGTCAGTTACATCAGGCTAAGTTGAATTCTGTAAAAAAACTATTGCGTAAAATTGAATATTTTTTTAAATATAAAGCCTCTTACCTGAGACATCCTGAATCTTGAATTTTGAATACAATTTGCAATCAGATACAATAATAACTATGTAGCAAAAATAAAAATGAGGAATGAAATACTTCGAAATATGCCTCAAAACATTCAAACATTAGTAATGAGGCTGTAATGAATTATAAAATTAACATCTAATTATACATTTCACCGTTTTTTTTGATGAGAAGCAAAATTAAGTAAATCGCTGAAGTAAGTAAGATCGTTAAGTAAATAGTTGAATCGCTAATATTTCTTGACATTGTCTATTTAATCAGCATGAAAAAGCTCCTATTAACAACATGTTAATTGTGAACTTTTTACCTTACCATTCTTGCTTGAGAAATTATTTGATGCTACTTGTGTATTTTATTTCTTTTGAAATGTTAATTTTATTTACAATAAAAGCACCTTACTTTAATTTACAATACTAACGTCAGTTGCCAACTACCTTATCATTGTTAGGATTGAAAATTGATGTCATTCAATTCTGATGTTTATACAACTTACGCTGCAATAATATTCAAGCATAATTTAATTAAATTTCTCATGATAGTATTATTTATTCAAAACTTGTAGGAAAAGGAAATGGAGTAGTCTGACTCGTAATATGAGTATAAATAGTGTTCTCTTTAACCATAAATGTTTGTAGTTGAAAATTGAATGTGAATCAAGTGTATTATTTTTAGTTTTTAACGATATAAGCATCTACTTTTATTGTCTTACTTTTATCCATCACGCAAACGTTATAAATACGAAAAGTGAAAATGAAATTTAATCTAGGTTCATCCATCTTTATAATAGTGTCCGTATCCATCGTTGGGTTTGGTTCAGCTTGGCGCATGAAACAGTCTAATATGGTTGGACAAATGCATAATATGGGTAGTATGATGATTCAACAGCCTGATATAGATAATATGACGAGTCTACAACCTGATATTGGTAATATGACGAGTCTACAACCTGATATGGGCAGTATGATGATTCAACAGCTTGATATGGATAATATGACGAGTCTACAGCCTGATGTGGGTAATATGACGAGTCCACAGCCTGATATGTAGGGTATGGCTAGCCTAGTACCTAAGTATAACGTCTAACACCGTTTATCTAATGTATTCAATCTGTTTGATCAGCTTTATTTTAATGACATTTTATGATTTGGGATGAAGTAATTTTAAATTAATCAAACAGAAAGTCGATTGGACAATAAATCCCATTTAAACAGTAATTCTTGTTAATAATTATCTTAACGTGTTATTTTACTTTTATTCAATGATAAATTTGCTTGATATATTCTGTATGATCACTTTGTATTTCTCAAAAGATTATGAAGCTATTTTTAGCTTTCTATAATAGCTTATTTCTCTGTGCTATTTGCTTTGACATCTATCTTTTTGCTATCTATAGATTCCATAATTTCATAAGGTACTATTATTATTTTTTAAATTTTTATTCCTTAGTGTGAAGATACTTTTTCCATAAATACTTATCGGAGCGTAGTGAAACGACCTGGAGATTTTAACTCTCACTACCGTAAACTCAAGTTCACTTTCAACTTTTATGTCCTCGGAAAATCTCGGCAACGGCTTAACATATTTGTTCATTTTGCAGAACTGAAGGGAAATCCAAGGTCATCGGAGGTCATTTGTCGGGATTTTGACCTGTAGCCTTCAGAAGTCATTTATCATTTTTTGACAGTTTATCAACGTTCTCATTCAGATTCATCATTATATCCCTATTAGTTATCGAAATATGGCTCAAAACATTCAAAAAGTTTTCAACTCATGAAATAGCAATTTACGATTTAGCTCAGGAATGTTTTTGTTTTCGAGCTTGATATTAGCAAGTTATTCAATTACGGTCATTTTGAAGAATCAAGGCAAATATTTAGACATCGGAGGTCATTTTCCGGGAATGCGACCTTTGACCTTTAGAGTTCATTTGAAAGTCACTCATGTATTTGCAATGCTTTTGCATCTCTACATGAAAGATTCATCATCATATCATCAATTATAATCGAAATATGGCTCGAAATACTGAAAAAGTCCTCAAAACTCACGAAAAAACTAAATCTTTCTGCTTTTCAAAACAAGTTAAAACAACAGATAACTTTGAAATGCCTACCCTTGCAGGACATTAGAAAAACAGTTTTCTTTCTGTAATAACGCAAATCATCATATGTGACATGAAACAATAGTATGATGTGTTCAGCGCACATAGTTATGTCATATGCAAAGATGAGAGAAGGTAAGAACGGAAGAAAACCTCAGCGCAATCATGAATTTAGTTAGCAGGCAGCAAGAATTTGACGGGAAATCGCAAAATTTTGTTGAAATTAATGATGATTAACCAATTTTTTGTTAAATGAGTGAGACCGTTCCTGTTTAAATAATGCCTTTGAAAAAGAATGAAAGCAATATTCGAAAGAGTAAAACCACTTGACTAAAATTTTCGTGTTTCATGAGAAACATCTTGCGAATGCTCTTATTCATCTCTCATAACAAAAATTCTTGCATTCAAAATATTCCATTAGTTATTTAAATCATTTCGTCTATTGTAATTACAGTAAGTTACCAGTAATTGTCAGTACCAGTAATTTTCAGTAGATTATTCAACAGTCCCTCAACCTCTTTTTTCACATCTAACATGAAAGGGTAACAAGTGTAACATTGAAGATACCTTCAAGATTTTAAACAATTAAAGAAAAATTTAACCTACTCAATGACCTTGAGGATAATAATGCTAATGTTAATGATGTGGCTAACAATTATCAGAGTAATGTTCGGACTGTTTTTCGGTGTTTATCAAATCAAGAGGATATAACTAAAGCTGTTGATAATGGCGTTGGAAAGAAGAAAAGGTAAGACAATTTTTGTGCCAATAATCAAGCTGATAAACTAATCTTTTTTATCTACTTTTTTAGATTGGAAAAATGTGAAAAACTATCTACCCATGATGATTTGGTCAAAAATTTCATATTAGAATGTCATGAAAAAGGGATTCCATTGAGTCAGAACTTGATAAGACAGGTAGCAAGACAGAAAGCAATTGACATTGGAAGAGATGATTTACTGTGTTCACCTATGTGGTTCAAGAGATTTAGTGAAAGAGTACACTTGAAATTATGAAAATTTTTTGGTGAACGAAATTCAATTAATCAAAAAGCAGTAAATAAATGGAAGGATGAGTAAATACCAAGGATAATGATGCATTGAAGTCAAGAATTTATTTTCAACTGTGATGAAACTGGCTTTTATGGCGTCAAGTTCCAGTTAAAACTTATTTCATTTCAAAAACTGACCACATAGGAGATACAATATTTAAAGAGCGTGTATCAATACTGTTCTGTGTTAACAGGAATGGTGATAAACTTAGAGCTTTAGTCATAGGAAAATCAGCTGCACCTCGCGATTTCTTTGCTGGTTGTTTGAATCTATGTATCTTGATTACATAACTCAGACTAACGCTTGGATGACCAAAGAAATTTTTGCAAAATGGTCAGATAAATGGCAACAATTTCTAGTCAGAGAAAACAAAAAAAATGTTTTATTATTAGATAACTTTAGAGGTCATTTAGTCGATCGTAAATGTTATCCAAATATAACCTTTGAATTTTTAATTTTGAACAACTTCTCTCACTCAAACTCTTGATGCTGGTATAATCAGGTGATTCAAGGCTAAATATATGTGTCTTTTTGTGAATGAATTGTTGAAAGCAAATGATGATGATCATGTTAGTCAATCTGTTAAAAAAATTAAGCTTTTAAAAGCCTTGAATTGGATCGATAGTGCCTGGAATTCAGTCACCAAAGAGACAATAGTCAATTGTTGGACCCATTTTGGATACTCAAATAACGAAGTGCCACTTGGAAAAGAATGTTCACTGCATTCTATTGCTGAACGCTCCGATATTTACGATCGATCGTCTGACCTAGTTTCTAGTTTGGATGCAAATGCATCAGCTAACAAGCAAATTTCATTAATGCATTCGTCTGAATTACGGCTATATTTTCATCTTAACTTGATAAGGACGGCGATTGAGAGGTTGTTGGGCGAGAAGGAAATTTGGGCGGTGGGGACACTTCTTGTTCCGTGGATTGGATAATGATAGTGTCCTGTTCTATATTGAAAACATCATCGTCATCATCGGGTGGCGTTTTTGTATTTTCCGAGATCGCAGTTGCATGATAAATAAGAGAATTAAGAATGAACAATGGACAATGGACAAATATTTTAAAATTTTAAACTTCCAAATTAACGGAATACAATGAGTATGTTTCATTCAAAGAGTAAAGGTACCTTACTCTTTGCTCGGGGCAAAACGTGATGTCTAGTCTAATAATTGTTATTTTTTGTTATTTTCATGAGTTTAGTTACTGTAAATTATTTAAGCGCTAAAATATTAGCTTTTTAGACGATTAGTTGAATAATCAATTGATGCAAAACTTCACATCCCACTCGCTAGATGACGCTCCTCTCTCAGAAAAAACCGTTGGCTGTCGTACATTAGCCAAGCCACCAGAAACTTTTTTTAACTATTGTTTAATGAAAAATTTAAATTAATGTAGGATTTTGATTAATTTTAATCAATCAGTTGATCAATATTAAATTAAATTTAGTAAATCTTGTCCATGTCAAAGAATGAAATACGAAAAGACTAAATACAGTATTTTCAAATTAGTAAGTAACTATTAATTATGATTTTTTTATATTCAACAGATTATCTCATTCGTAACCATCTTTGCTTTCTTCTGCTTCGCCAATGCAATATTTAAACTCGATTTGGCCTGGGATTCGATCCAAGACACAAAGGATGCATGTTATATATTTATGTGAGTATTTACAATATTTATAAATTATCTATACATCTATTCAGATGCAATACAAAATGTGAATCTGAAGCAAGTTTCACCTTTCTCGATGATCAGCAAATAGGCCTTTTCATCATAATCATCTGTCTCATCTTTGCCATTCGGTAGCATCATCCTTTCAAACTTCATCACTCATCTTTAGATGAAGAATGAAAAGGTGAAAGAAACTAGGAAAAGGTAAAAGCATAGTAAAGAAAGGCAAAAATGATAGAAGTTAGTGATTTCTCAGTGGAAATGTTCTGATTGAGATGCTTGGTGCTTAACCTTTAACAGTTATTACGAAAGCTTTAAAGTGATGCCAAGAAAAATTTGTTGACAGGTAATAAGAAAAGGCCGTTTAGATGATAGTAAAGATTAAGTCTTTCATCTGATCACTTGCTTTTTCCCTCTTTATCATCCATTCCTTTGGTTCATGTTCATCTTACATTTTATTTTCATCTTTTTTTTTCTTTCTTTCTCTTCTTCAGATCGGCCTTTCTAAAAAAGATTCAACCATTAGATGAACAAAAATGACTTGTATCACCACACTCATCAAGAAATGATAGTTTTTTTCACCATTTCTTTCCTTTTCATCTTCCATTCTCTCAACATTTTTTCTTGTTCTCTTTTCTTCTTTTCATCTATCATTTTCACCTTTCTCCCTCCCCACCCTTTTATGCACATCATCTTTCATCTTTTTCATTCACAATCATCTCAAGAGGCGTTCTGATTAATGTTAACCGATAAATAGACGTGCGCTCAAGACCAAGATTACCCTACGGCTATCATTGAGCCATCAAAAGGAGCAAAAAGGACTGAGAAGATGTTGAAGCCAAAAGGATATGTTACCAAGAAAAAGAAGAGGAAAGAGCAAGGAAAAGATGAGAGTCAAGCCAATCATTGGAAAATGGATTGTGATGAAGAGAGGAGGAGGAGGACAAAAAAATGTATTAATGAAGTGTCCAAAGGATGAAAGAGCAAAGCCTGGAGGCATCGCGATGAACATGATTGAAAAAAGTGGCTTCACTTTACCCTTTCTTACGATCATTTTTCACTACATTTTAAGGTCAAACTGGATGACATGATAGGGTTAACTCGACTTTTCTTCCACTTTGACTTGCAAACTCCTTTAGACCTTTAGATGTCTTATAGTATTACAAATATCTTCACACTTCAATCCCAAAATGTTACAAAAAGTGGACCCAAAAAGAGTCAAATAAAAGGTTAACCAAGATGGAAGATGAATTGCTGAAAAGAAGGAAAAGTAAAAAATGAATCTCATTTTTTTGTGTTTTCATTATCATACAAAGTTCACACTTTACCTGGAATTGTCCAATCAACTGGTGAAGCCAAAGTCACTCAACATGAAGATTATTGATATTAATGGAATTCCGACCTCAGAACGACTCTTGACGTGAAGCTTTGACGATTGTCCAAAATATGACCCTTGGTTCACAGGGTTACAAGCGTAAAATGTGTTTGAATAAGCGTCACATAATAACGAGACCTTTAACAACACTGTAAATGCCTTCTCTGTGTTTAACAAACATTGATAGGCAAAGGGTTTGCCCTTTTACCTGTCATGTCACATTACCTGATAATCAGGCCAAAGGGTGTGAAACCATAGATGGCATTTTGGGTCAGACTGATTACAGGTTGACTTTGATTTCTCGTTATTTCTCCATTCGCCATTGTTCTCATTATTTGACTTTTCCTTTTCTTCTTCTTCTCCTTTCATCTTCATCATCATCATCTTTCGTGTCTTTTTTTGCTGTACAAAGATGAATATCAAGCTATTTATCAACATTGACATGTAACCATGGGAAAGGTAAAACGATATACCCTTTTTGACTGTTGTGTGTCTATCTGTGTCTAATGCATAGATGATGTTATCAACTCCATTCTTGATACTTTCCTATTTCCTTATTATATTAATATGACCAAGAAAACACAAATACATCAAATACACAGTTGATACACACGCAAAGCTCTGATTTACCCGGCAATTCTAGTAATTTTTATGTTAATATCATTTTTTTGTTCTCAAAGCAAAGTCATTTTTACCATTTAAATAGTGAACTTAAACCTGTGCGAACTGCACTCGACAGAGATTTTAAATTGCCGATGATGGCAATGATTGAGGCCCAACAATGGCAAGAGATTAAAGGACAAAGTAAAATGAAAGCCAAAAATGGATTTATCAACCATTAGAATCACTATTAATATCGTAACCCAATCAAATTTAGGGCAACACATCGAGTTGGAAAAGTAAAAAGATTTTTGTCCCTTTTCTTTCGATATTCATTTATGCAATTTGATTAGATGCAGATAAAGAGGAGAAGGCAATTCTTGCCGTTCAATTGAAAATGACGGATGTTGTTTTGTTACATGTAACCTCAAGTATTAAATAACATGGGCAACACACAACCACAAACCTTTCCAGGCAAAAATACATTGTCACCTATAGACCAGTAAAAAGTGGATACAAACACCGCAAGTGTACCACTGTTGATGTATTTTTGTTTTGTCTTATCTTCAAATTGTCTTCTGGGATTCCTTCCCAACCATCTCCTCTCCTTATCATCTTCAGTATATTAGCTTTTATGACGATTCAAGGTATAATATTGGTTACACTCAGACACTTACACAATGGATACTTATTTTGTCTTCTTCTTCTTGTACCCACAATCCCAAGTGACCAGTGAGGTTTTATCTCAAAGGTAATTTGATATGGGCTGTTGTTTATCATCATCATCCTTCCTCCTCCTCATCATATGGACTCAACCATTTGGATCATCACAAGTAACAGATACAAGGGAATTAACAAAAACATGATCTCGCATATCACTTTCCTCTAATTTATATTACAAGTTTGGTTCCACTTCTTATCCACTTCCAATGATAAACAACCGAGTTTTTTTCATGCTTTTTTATGCTGTGTGGGTGAACAAGATAAACAAGATCAAAAATCATATTGTAAATGAGTTACAAAATGATACAACATTTGAATAAGAAATATAAATACATAGATTATCATGAAATGAGGTTAAATAATTGCATGAGAATATTGTTTTTTCAAATTTTCAGTTCTGACAATTTATGTTTACTTTTTTTTCATTGACATTTCCTTTTTTGACAATTTTTAAGCTTATTGTGGCCTCGACTGTTTTGATTGAAAATATTGGATTGATGATAACATCTGATTAGATGATCAGTTAACTGGTTTTGGGTTTTCATTGTTACCATCATTCCCTAACAGCAATCTCAACATTTGGTAAGTGGTATCAACAGTTATCAAAAGTAATTTGATATCATTGAATATGAAAAGTGCACAAGATGAAAATATACTGATAATGTCTCAAATGACTTTTACTTTTCTCTCTTTTTTTTATCTTCTTCTTCTTCTTCTTTCTTTTTTAGCTGTAGACTCATCTTTAGAGACAAAGGAAGGTTATTGCAGTGGTTAAGGTGACGGTGGTTGATGATTGCATCGAGTTGGTGGTTACATCAAGCCTGTTGTGGGGTGAAAAGAAGGAGGAAAAAGGCTGAATGTTGTTATCCATTAAAAAGTTTACTCTACTCTCTATTCAATTGACTTTTTACAGCCACCAACAGTCATTATAACCATGATTATTATCATCTGATGGGCACACTGATTGCTATCAATTTAATCGTTATCCAAGATACTTCAATGATATAATAGACACAAGGAGTTGAGGATAAAAAAGAGACTTTTGATTTGCAAATAAACATACGGATGTAAACAAAATCTGAACACACGTATGATTTAATGGACAATAGACAAAAGAGGAAGAAAAAAACTAATCCAAATAAGGTAATCATTTGGGTTAATCTTTAAGATTGACTGGTGTAAAGTGATTCACTTTGAAATTTTGAAGCCAACAACTGTCTGAAATTTGACGCCAAAAAGTGAATCTCTTTGCCTCATCATAATCATTGTTTCATCCTTTCATCCACATTCATCTTTCCTAACCAAAATTGACATCCAACCATCAAAAAGAGTATCATTTTTATCTCGAATCATCTTTCCATTTTCCAATCTCTTCCATCTCCTGCTGTCTCATATCAATCGACAGGGTTAACGGTAAGGTTGCATTTTATTTGGTTTAAGGTTAAATTGAAGGCACAGTTAACTGTGATAGTCTTAGTGACCCTGTTGTTCAATGAACACAAGCCATCACTCAATCTTGATCCACATTATTTGATCACTTTCTAACCATCAATCGATGGTAAACATTTCATTTCAACCTTTTCATCAAACCATTTCAATGTCTTCACCCATTTCACAGGCAAAGTCATCTCGATTCATCTCGTAAAATTGATCAACATTTAATTTTTCATTTTGTTACCATTCATCAAGTAAAGCTAATACTTTGTAATGGCTTTTAATCTTTATATAACATATTATCTTGCCGTTAAGTTAATGAATGGCAAGCAAATAAGTAACTCGTAACTAACATGATTAGTGAGAAAATACATTTTTCAACTCATTTCATGCTCTCTTCAACTTGCAGTGAAACATTTGCACCAAAAGCTCATAATGTTTACAAGGATCCCTCCACCATCTACCAACATGAACATCAACTTAATAATCACCATTAACATGATGATAACAAGCCATTGATGGAATCAGTGGAAATCATCTTTCATCGTTAACTCCATTGATCTGTAAAAAAGTTGAGACCATTAAGCATGAGAAAAAAAACTCAGAGAGGAAAAAATTTAATCTAAAGTTGAACTCGCAAAGGAACCAGCAAAGAAGCAAGAAAAAATGGAGAAATAATTTAATGATATTATGATATATTTGATTAGACTTTTGATAAACAGTTTGTTCCTTCGATGAACCCTGAAAAAAGAAGCAAATAAGCTTGAATATTATTCAATATCAATTTGTCCATATTTTTGGTTACTCTATTATTCCAGTCACCCTGTTAACCATGTAACCTTCAACCATTTTCATGTATCCGATGACAATTCTGGTAATCTTAATGATGTTCATGAACAGTTGAACAGCTTAATCTAAAAATTATAACCTCATTGAACAAGCTCAATCAATCAATCCAATGAAGTTTCAGAATTGAACATTTTCCCTCTTCAATCAATAACCTTTTATAATTATAATCTGATAACAAATAATTAACCTTCACTTGAAGTTAAATTAAACCATTTATAGATTTGGAAGAAAGCTGAACAATCAACTGTTCATGAAAAAAGAAGAATCAATGAATCGATTTATTGAAATAGTCTAATGATATTAATAAGTAACAATGTTTGAATGAAAATGCTAAATGTTAAGGTAAAGTAAAAGATCGGAAATTGTTACCATGTTACTCCTTTTTCTTGTTCATTATTTACTCATCATTCTGATCCTGATCCACTCACCACTCATTTCAGGAAATAGTTTTTATATCTTAACATCCGTTTATAATTGAGTTCCTATGAGATGCCTTTTCATGGAAGCTAATAACATGAAAGGAACAACGAAACGCGAAAAGATGAAGAAATGTTAATGAAAGAAGCTAAGCAAATAACTAAGTAATAGACATCCTGATATTGATATATTATCGTAATAATATGCAGATAATTCAGTCTAATATATCATTTGGGAAAAGATGAATCAATGGAAACATTTTTTCAAGCGAAAATGCTTTTAGTCTGAAAACAGGAAAACCCAAGAAAGAACCGATTCTTCCGTTTAATCCAGAAATCTGTTTTTCACATTTAAATGCTTAAAACAGTGCAGCGACTTGCGGTAATTATGGTTTGAAAGTTAATGATTGATACAAAGGTATCAGCACTTGTCCGGTTTGTTTCCTGCAGGAAACTGCGACAATTGACAAAGTCTGACCGCAATCAAAGGTACATTAAGATTTAATTGGAAACGGTCGCTAAAAAATGAAATTAATTGTTACATTGAAACATTTCCTTTTTTACGTTGCCTTTCAAATTACGTGATTTTATTGTCAAGTGAGGTTCACAAGTAGACAGATCCGGGTTTTAATGATTAAATGATATTTTGTTTGCTGTTTTTATACAAAGGTACAAAATGAACACCTTAAATTGATTGTCACTTTAATCATTTGTCTTTTCAATGTTGATGCATTAATCAAAGCTGTTATCAAGTTGTTTTGATTATTCAATGTTAATAATGGAGAGAAGATGTAAAAATCTTAAAAAAAGCGCAAAGGCTTGATATTGGTTTCCGACATATGGACAGTTGTGTGAGTCTATTTTTTTATGCGTCTGTTAAAGTCAGGCTGAGGTTAGGTCCGGTTTGTCGTGTTTTAACGTTTATACCGTGAAAATGGGAGGAACTCACAGGTTACTTCTCTAAACATTATTAATATTATTCTCGTAATAATATATATTTATCATTTTCTTTGATTCTTTTATTCTCTCCATTACAGTTAACTGCACTTTTGGGACATTATGATCATGGGCCAGTCACACAAGGGCCAAAGTCACCTTTGATAAACAGAAGTCACAGAGAGAGAGAGAGTAAAACATTTGGAAAATCGACCAAAAATGTAACTCATTCTTGGGTGAAAAATTGGAAAGGATTGATTCACATGTGAAAGAGGATGGAATGAAGGAAATATCAGGAAGTTTATGGAGAAACATTGATTGTCTTATCAAGGTGATAAAGGAGGTTAAAGGGATGCTAAAAGATGGTAAAAGATGAGAAAGGATGAAATGAGAGTAAAAAGGTTGAGAAAAGGTGTGAAAAAGTTAAAAGTGTATTTGTAAAGGTAAAGGAATCAGTTTGTTCATTGATATAAGTTGATGTAATGGTTAATGGTTAGAGAAGATAAAAATAGAGTCTTTTCCTCTTCCATCTTCATCTCACTCCTTTTCAAGTATCAAAAGAGGGAGTAAAGAAGAGAAGAAAAGAGAGAAAAAAAAGAAACAAGAAAAGAGTCAAGGATTGTGGTTACTGGTTGGTAAGATGATGATCAGAGTGATGAACAGTTTTAGGCCTGAAAATAGGTTTCAACAAAAAAGGTAAACCACTGAAAAGGGAGAAGGAAGATGAAGGCGAAGAGGACAATAAAAGGCATAAAAGGAAGAGGAAAAAAGAGGAAGTTCATCGATGGCCCACCAAGTACGTGTTATGTGTGTATTTAAATCAGGTTTTTGATCCGTTTAGCCATTCACAAAGGACTGGGTAAAAGGTGAAGAAGAAAAGTCGAGCTCAGTCTTAATTCATCTTTTTTTTGCGTCTTCTTTCTTCTGCTTCTTGGCTTCAATAGACTTTTCAAAAATGTGTAACCTCAAAGCGTCAAGAGGAACCACAAAAAGCCCCAAATATACATTCATATATTTACTGTACACAGTCACACAACATATACACACGCGTACCCATCAATATATTAATAATATTATTAATAATAACTGGCCTAAGTTGGCCTTTATTCCGTTCACTGGCTTTCTTACCTTAACTGTTACAAAACCATTACTATTTTTTTTTGCTTCAACATCATCCCTTCACAGCTTACCTTTTATTTTCATTGACAATGAGTTTGGTTTTCGGGTTCACTCTCTTGCAACTTATTATTGATTGTTATTCAAAGTTTGATTGTTGTAAATTGGCTCAGCTCTAAATTAAATCTCAATAATAATAATATTTTTTATAAAAAAATATATTCAAAGATAACCTGAAGCCAAAGAGAGTCTATCTTCTGTCACACCTAATAGTTAATCTATTGGAAGATGGTATTAGAAGATAAAGATGACAGGGAATGGATGAGAATTGAATTACGCGTCATTGGATAATCAATGGACCAGAGATGAGCTTTCATGATCAAGTTAACAGCGAAATAATCACTCAATGAAAGGCAAAAATTTAAATCCAAGTCAACAAAGAAAATTTAAATTTCAAAAATTTGACAAAAATTTTAACAAAATTTCCAATAAAATTGAATCAATTATCAAGAAAAATCCAACAAATTTTTCCTCAATAATACCAATATTGAAACAAATGATGATAATTTCAAGGATTGATCAAGGGAAAGCAAAATTGTCGTGAATGTTGACCTGAAGAGGCATTTCATTCAACAATCGAGATTCATTTTCTCGACATTTACTCGACTTGAAAATTGACTCAACTCCAAGAACATTTTTTTCTCAATTTTTGCTCAACTTTTTCTTGTGTTGCTATCAAGATCAAGTCCAGTATCAATTGATTTTCAATTTTAAATATCAATAAATGTTGAGGTTGGAAATGCTTTTAAAGGAAAACATTGTAAAGCTGATAGGAATCCCTCCCTGTTTGATGATAATTTCACGTTTTACTTGAAAACAAATGTCAATAGGAAATGATACATAAAATGTTATCAAAACAAAACCGATAACATTAACCTATAAAAATGATAGCGCCACCTACATGATAATAATAATGATGATAATAAAGGTGATAACAATGTTATCGAGTAACTGGGAGTTGAAAGTTGTAGCAACACTGGAAATAGTTGATAACATTTGCCTTTTTCCCTTGCAACACAATTTATAGGATTTTTTACCTTTTATCTTGCAACTCACCTTTTTAATTTCCTTCAATTTCTGTAATATTTTTTATTCTTTCTCAATGTTTTTCCATTTGTTTAGCATCATTATCAATTGTTGCCAAACTTTACTCTCATTTTGTCACATTAATTGAGATTCAATTTTTTCGCCTTTTTTATTGTTAACAGTTTGGACAGTTTGTTATATTGATGATGCTTTAAAGTCAAAATAATACATTTTAAATGAACTCTTTGGACTCATTTTTTTCGGCCGCCTTTTTTGTTCAAAGTTTATCTTTCCAGTCAACTTGATCTTTTCAGCATTTAACCGTATTTTTGTATGTTATGGGACAATATTTGGGTTGAAGGGTGAAGCAAAGAATGGCCAAGATAAAGAAGAAGATGATGAAAAGACGAAACTTGATAATCATAAATAATATTAAATAACTTCTTCTTTTTACAGTTCATTTTTTTGTCCGTTTCTAACATTGTACAGGTAATAACAGACATTTATCTCTCTCCAACCATCTCGCATTGAGAGGGTAAAATTTATAGTATATTTTTGTGGTTAAGGTTAAAGGTTAAAATTGGTGAACCAAATACATAAAGGTGAAAGGTAAGAATGAAAAGAGTAAAAGCTTCTCTAAGAGACTCTCTCATGGTTTCTTCATGGGAAGTTTAAGGGTTACTTAATGTCCGTTTTCCCAGACAACAAGCATAAACAGCTTAGGTGTTTGACAAATAGTCACTTCATTCAGATGTTTAAGTCTTAGACTTTATTCATAATTTCAACCTTAAATTGATTCGATTCCGATTGGTAAAGATGAAAATTTGATATTTGGCTCAATATTGCTGCTAAAACTGCTGCTTTAAAGGCAACAATTGGTTAAACCAATTTTTAAACAATAAAGAGTTGAAAGCGTAATATCGTATTCAGAAGGCAACTTTTCATTAAATAACAATAACAATTAATTTATCCTTCGAACTGTTCCATCTCTTTGAGTTAATCCAATAAAAATTTCTAATCTTTATTAAATTTCTTTGAAACAAATTGATGAATCGATTGACTCGAGATCAACTTTTTTCTGTAAATTTAAGTTTCTTTTAGTTCTTGTTCTCATTAGCTTTTGTCATTAGAAACTTCAGATTGGCTTTACTTTTCTGACTCGAGATTTTCTTGACCAACTCAGTTTATTTGAATATATTTTTTGAGTTAATTTACATGATTGTGCTCAAATCTAAGCTTCATTCAATTTACTTTATTTGAATGGAAGTTACAATTTTAGCGATTAAATTTTGTCCAACTCTTTGCTTACAATTGGTTATTCAATACCATTCATTACATTCAAGTTTGGGATTTTTTTCTTTCTAATAACTAAATTGTAAATACGTTGATGAAAATAATGACTGATGATGATAAGATGATGATGATAAGGTCTTTAACCAGAATCAAAGGGTTTCCCAGTTGAGGTTAAGCGAAAGTTTGCGCGAAGAAAGAAGGGAAAAAGTCTCGTAAAGTAGGAGAAACAAGGCAAGCAAGAAAAAAACGAGGCCAAAGAGCACAATGACACTTTGATCCATCACTTTGATACAAAACCGTAACGAGGCCAAATCCGGGCAAAAATATTATTCACTTTACAATAAAAATATAATAATATTAATAATAATCTGTGGTTCACCACGCACTTCAATTGCACAGTCAGTCTCTTTGTATTAAAATTATCATTATTATCATTTCTTTGTAACAATATGAATATGAATATACATAGATAAGATATAAATTTATACCAGAGAGAGAAAGAAAAGTTATAACAAAAAAAAAAGTGCTGGGAGGTTAAAAGGAGGGAGTTGAAGTCGAGAGAAGGTCGAGGTTAAAAGGAGACTTGAGGCTATTGGAAATGATAATGATAATGATGATGAGGAAGAAGGAGGAGGATGAAATTGGGTGAGAATTATGAATTGATTTTACATTCAAATAGGATTGAAGCGTTTGTTACGCTAAAGGGACAAAGTGCCTCATGACTCATAATCAGTCGTTTTTTGCCTGCTCTTCACCATTCCCTTCATAATCAGAATTGTGTAAACGCTTTTCAAAGGTTACAGAAAATCTGGATATTTATCATTGTTACTGTTATCAAGACAAAACAACTCCCTGTGACCCTTATATTACATGTTGTACAAAATACATAACTGTGATACATATCGCTTCTCTTGTTGTCTTTGGCCTGTCCTTTTACTTGGCAAAAGGTCTTTTCCTTTTTGCCCTCTAACCTTCCCCTTTCAACCTCTTACTTCCCTCTTCCTCTTATTGTGGTCAAACTTTGCTCCATATCAATATACATATTTGTAATAATAATAATAATGATAATATGAGCAATCAACCGATTATCCTTAACAGAGGAAAGGATGCAAAAATTGTTATCAATTTCACAATAACTAGATTTACTTTATCCTTTTATTTCATTTGTATCATTGCGCTTGTTGCCCTTTTCAAGGGTTAACCTCTTGCGCTCCTGTTGGACATGGTCAGTTAACACGGGGATTCAGAGGGCAGACTTTTAATCAGTTATCGACCCTTTTAAAGGAAACCTTTACCCTCAAGATTATCACTTGGATGATCCTTTTGACCTTTTTTATTCTTGCACCGTTGCACTGTGTTACTTTCAACCCGTAAAATGTAACGCTTTCAATATTAATAATCATATTAATCTTATCATATTAACCAAAATGCTAATCAAATTCATTATTTTGGCCATTTTGTTGCCAGTCAAATTGCGCCTCATTTGTGTCTTCCGTTCAAACCGAATTGTTTAGTCAAATGTTAACATTAAATGTTTCATTTGCTTATCATAAATCCATTTCTATTCATCTCTCATTCAAATCGACAAATTAAACAATTTTTCAATTCTTTAAACATTTACTTTCATTTCGACTTCAAAACTTTCAAATTCAAGTTTGAAAAATTCTCGACTCTTGGTCAATGCTTTTTGTGGAGTGAATTGAAACTAAATTTTGGTCATCTTAATCATTTATTATCATTATAATTAGTCATTATGAAACAATTTTTTATACACTCGATGAGATTTTGTGTGTGTTGTATTTTTATCATAAAGATGAAAATGTTGGATGAGATGCTTTTTTGTCCTGCTTTGTGTCAAAGATTGAAGAGCAAAAGGGAAAACTTGAGATGAAAAGAAAGAAAATTATTGATGAAAGACACAAAACTGATGAAAAATGATGAGAAGAGTGAAGATGTCGAGTGAAAATGGTGTAAATGATGTCAAATGATGATGAAAAACAATCATCAATCCAATAATAATAATAATAGAAAATAATAATAATAATAAAGTAAGAATCAACAATTGCTTTGGAAGATTAGATGAGAATCGATCATCATAAAGTTATCATCATGAAATGCTAATTCCAATCAACATTGAATAAGATGAATATCATTGAAAATCATTTACAATTTGTCCAATCGAACTTTATTTGTACACATTTTTACAGCATTCATCAAGTTCATTCCAAATGGATCCCGACCATCAAAACCATCGAAACTCGAACCAAAATTTCTTTTCTCTGAACCAACTCTGAGCAACTCAAGATTTCAATTTCAAGCGAATGACGATCAAAAGTTTTTTTCCCCAAAAACTTTAGAATGAACTTTCAATGAACTTTTTCAATGTTTCACAATATTCAGTATTCCCTTAGGTGGGTTGATAAGAGGTGGGATGGGTGAAGGGAAGAGATGAAATTGGATAACAAGTTTATCCTTTTAACAGGGAATGATGATCATGATTATTATTACTCGTATTATCGTTGTACATTACCATTATTATCATTATTATTACTATTATTATCGAAATTGTTTTTTCGTTATTATTATTGTTACCATTTTGTCACCATTTTCTTGTTGCTATTTTATTGTAATCATTATTGTGATTCCCAGTGATTATACAAAGCCATAAGTGAATCCACTTTCACCGGTAATCAGCAAGTTTCTTATCAACTGCTCTATCGGCGCTTTACCCACCAAACGAACGAAAAATATTTGCTCGATAACTTGTGAACTGATCGCTCTTAGAGAAGGAAGTCGTAACAATAGTTTACCGAATCGTGTTGGTTGATTGGGATATTGGGTTCGACAGTACTCTTCAAGTGCACACTGCGAGGCTTCCTGATGAGCTTCAATCTTTTGGACATCAGTTAAACCACAAGCATCTGAAAGGAAAGGAAAACATTATTCATCGACTTATCTAATTCAATGTTTATTCATTTTCATCATTCATTGATATTTATTGCATTTTCATGTTTTATTTGGCTAACTATTGTTAGGATTATTTGAACCTTTTTTTGTTTCGAATCTCGATTTTCGGTAAACTTTTATTGTTATATTTGATTTTCAATGTTGAATCTTTTGAGTCTTTTTTGAGTGTAAATTGCAGGTGAAATGGGAATTGTTGCTTTCAATTGATTCATTTCATGTTTGCATTTTGAACTAGAAAATTTAATCATCTAATTGTTGGAAATAATTAACCAAATGGTGATATTTCTTCTTGACTTTTGTAAAGTGAACAAAATGAATGAAAAATTATGTAAATATAATATTATAATTTACATATCAATTGAAAGTCGTTTTTTCTTGCTGTTGGTTAAATTGAGTTGAAAAGTAAAAGCTAAAAATGTAAAGTTAATGGAAGTTAAAATGTGAGAAACAAAAAGTCCAACTTAATGGTGGCGAATCAATAAGCTAACAACAAAATTCAGGTTAATAATGATGCGTTATTAAGTTGCAATTAAATTTAAATACCATGTAAGTATTTTTTAGTCTCTGAAACCTTTGCTGAATCAAATGATGATGATGATGAATAGAGAGTCTTGAAGACCACCTAATGTTGATAATCACAGATGAGCTTTAATTTTGTGTTAACATCACGTAATCTATGTTGTTGTTGCCCTAAGGAAATGTAACTCGATTAAGATTGATTGCAAGGAGACAATTTAATTTGCTTGTTTTCTTGAACATTCAGTTGTTAACATTTTTCGCTCAACTAAAACACACACAAAAGAAGCAGAGTTTCTTGGCGACTCACGAAAGGGATGAGAATGATTAAAAAGTGAAGAAAGTGAAGAGTGAAATTGAAGATGATCTTACCTGTTGAGAAGAGTACGATGGCTTTGAGACAGCTGTACTCGGCTGGATCCACATGCAGTGATTTCAACTTTTCTACCTGCTCTTGAAATATTCTGATGTTATCCATGAAGGTTATCACTCGATCGGCAGCAAAAGGTGTTGACGAGTGAACCGATTGGGCTGCAAGGAGAGGCGCTATGTTAACAGTCATTGAGCACTGGGAAGCATTAAGGACAAATAATTCGGACCAGACAACCCGGAGAAGTGCTACTTGATCGGTTACTTGAAGATCAGGAAAGAAGGGAATGTTTCGTGCCCAGTCAAGGGCAGCAAACAGTATGCTGGCTGCAAGCTCGTTTATCCCTTCAATGGTCATTATATTGCTCGGGTGCATGTTTTGAATTATCTGTGTTGGCGTGTACGTTTCAGCACGCAATAGTAAAGATATGAAACTTTGTGAATATGTGTGTCCAATCAGGGTTTCACCATTGGTCAGTGCTGGAGTCATATGGCCTGGTAATGCATGTTGACTTGGTGGAACTCGTCCTCTTTGTACAGCTAAAGAAATAGACATTCGTTGATCAGTTTTTGCTTTTTTTCACATTCTTTGCATTGGATAAACATTGAACAGTTTAAGGTTAACTTGGATTGACATCTAAATTTACAAAATTGAACAATAAAATTGGTTGAAACAAGTCTAATTATATCGTCATTGCTCATTGTTGGTTCAGTTTGTGTTTGCCATTTGGAAAGGTTGATAATTGATTTTTTTATTACAATTTTTTGGAGGTAAAAATATAAAGGAAAACAATCAACAAGTGATCAAATTATGAGATGCAATTTAAATGTTAGGTGAGTTGAAGAGTAACCTCAATCATAACCTTTCAGGGTAAAAGATTTGTTCTTGTTGATGTTGATGGTGATGATGATGATGATGATTAGGGAATCGGAAATAGACCGAAGCTGTTATTTCAATTTGAGGAAGCGTGAAAATATGATCAACCATGCTTAGCAAACTGAATCATTTGCAGTTGTTATTTAACAAAATATTACCTTTCAAGTTGATGTAAGGTAACTTATCAAAAATGTTTTCATATTTTTGCTTCACTTTATAACTTTACAACTATTCCACTTTCAACGGAAAACAATTGGTCACAGAAAATGGTGAAGAGTAAATAACTCTATTATCTTTCTCTGTAAATCATGATCCTTGTTGATTCTAACCATCTTAATGATGAGCAACAACAATTGAATTGAAATTTGCAACATTTTTTCAAACTTTCTTCAGACTTTAGTTTTTTTGCTGCAAAAAACGCGAAACAATTTAAATGAGAAACTTTGAAAGTGTAAAGAAATGAGTTTCAATGTTTCATTTTAGAATGAATTTAATGACAATTAAAAGGTATTATATCATTGCTAAGATCAAAGTTGGTTGAACTTCAAAGTTTCAAGATTTGATTGTCAAGATGAATTAGGATTGATTAACAAGGGAAGTTAAAGATTTGAGCATTAAAAAGACAGAGATGATGAATTGCAAAGGAAACGATTACATTTGTAAAACGGTGATGACAATAGAATCGACGCTTTCCATGTTAACGGCAAGTCGAGTATCAAATGACCTCAAACATCATGTTTATGCCTCTAAAAATACGTTTAAATGTTTATTCTTCAAACAAAAACTCGACAATTCCGTTAATTGCTCAAGTTATAAACTCATTCAAACTCAAACCTTATTAACCCAAAGAGCTTCAAAACTTGGATAAGATCAACTTTAAAGTCGAAATTGAATTGAAATGTTCTTAATGTTTCAATGTCGATATTTTAGACTCTGAAATGTTCATTTTGCTCTTGAATCCTAAGTAATGCAATAATGTAAAGTAAATGAAGTTAAGCTTTATTTGTTTCAACCAACTCCAAGAAAAGGGAAAATTCATTTGCATTTGGTTTTTGCATAAAATTAGATTGTATTTACATATAACTGAATTAGTGAGTTGATATTCCCATTTGGTGTTGAAATTGCAGAGTAAATTGGTGTGTTCAGTTTATATTGACTTTCGCTTGTTGATTATACTCTAGTGAGTAGCTAATTGATTAAATTGTGTAATTAAAAGGGCGACTCATTTTGCTTCATCAACTGCACAGGTTTGGTTAGTAATAAAATTAAATGATTGAAAGCTGTAAGCTAAATGTAACTATTATAACAGTTTCATTTGGTTTGAGGAAACAATTCATTTGTAATTTGCATTCACTTACAGCAAATTACACGCAAAATCATCAACAGCAATTAACACAAGTTTATGATTGCAATCAATTCATCTTTTTTTTATTGACCATCAAACTGTCAATCCATTTAATTGTAGTTTGAAAGGTGTTAAGATTGAGGACAAAAAAGGATTCAACTAAATCAGATAATTGAAACTATTGAGCCTTAAAATTGATTCATAACATTAATAATTGCTGATTCAGTCTTCCATGAAAGATAAATGGCAATTTCAAAAGTTACTAATTTGTGATTTACTTTGAATAGTAAATTGAAAAGTCCATCTCGACTAAAGTGTGATGACAATTGTATCGATGAAAGATGTGTGAAGAGTTGAGAGATTAAATTGTTAGAAATGGTTTTACATGAAAAACAACATTAAGGTCATGATGGGTAAAGATTATCCACTGAACCGGAAAGATATTAAAGGGTGTAATCACGATGAGCACTGGAAGGGTAAAGGATAGGTCACAGGTAAAGTAACAGTTGTTACCATTTAAATTGGGTTAAGTCAATTTAAATGTTTTCTTAAATGGTGTTTGTGAACACGGCAAACAAAAGTGTCAACAAGAGTAACAGCAAATCATTTGAACGATCATCATCGGGTTAATCATTGACTCTCATGATCGTTGATGAACCGATAAGAATAGACAGGACAAAGTGATTGAAACCACAATAAGCTTTACGGGAAAAGATGAAAATTTGCGTTGAAACACTTCTTCAAGCTCAATCCTCCTCATCATCATGTTCATCATTTTTTGTTCATCATTCTTGTTGCTGTTTGTACTCATCATTTGTTATCCTGTTTACTTTGACTCTTGTTTACAGATATTCACTTTAGCCATCATTATCATCTTTACCTTCCTGATGATGTACCTTTGAAACATTATAATGCTATGGATGGTTGATTCAAGGTCAATTCCAGGTTCAAAAATTAAGGTAAAACGGTCGACAACATTTTTACCTTTTCTTTAACCTTTTTTACTTAAACTTGGAGTTTACCAAAAATCTGTAAATACCTGTTGATCCAATTTTAAACCATCAATCAGATGAAAATTGATCAGTCAAAGGATCGACTAAAGGATTGACTAAAGTAAATTGAAGCAAATTTTAGGCAAATTTTCATCTCTTTTTGTATTCTTTTGGTTTTTCGTGATTTTGGGGAAAATATATTTTCCTTTACACTTGAAGTTTTACTGACTTTTGGTGTCCATTTGCTTTGCATTAATTTAGTTTCAATTAATGATAACTTTTCACTTTAACTCAATAATTAGTGATAATAAATCACAAGTTATTTGCAATGGTTTACTCGCTCATTTAGTTTGACCTTTTCCAGGGCAACTTTGAGGGAAAAAGCGATTCTCTTGTTTTTAGATTCAAACATTTTTGACCTTTTTGCCAGTTCTTTTTGTTTTCATTGCTCAGCCATCCTCACAACTACATCATCATTGTTGACAACAATTTCAACTTTCTCTCAACTTTGACAGTTTGAAATGGTAAAATAAACGAGCCAGAGAGTAGAGATGAAAAGATGATCAAGAGTTGCACTTGTTTCTCTCATCTTTAGTCTATTCATTAGCAACAAGTTGATGAAGATGACCTTTTATGCATCTTTAGTTTTTTGGCCAAATTGCACAGTCAGGTCAACATGTGTCCACCATGTGTTTGCAACTTATGAGGATGATAATTATTTCAAGAATTATTCCAGTCGAATTTACATTGAAAATTAAGTGTTTTCTTTCTCTTAAAAATAAACACGTTTTGCCATCTCTTCATCTTCATCCTCATCCTTCATCATCAGCAAACAAAGATCACTTGAAACACACACAGAAAACTGAACTCTAAGTGAAGCAAAAAATGCTCATCTAAGGCCAACTTGCAAGTCAAGTGAAATGATATTTTCTGCAAAATGCTTATCATTCCAATGAACTGAAGTTGAATATCAATAACAAGTTTTTGCACAAATGCTAATCATACTGATGATCAGGGTAATTGGAATAATTTGTGATTCTATTTTTTTCTAGTTAACAGATTCAATTGAAATGCAAAAATTATGTTTCATCAAATGAAAGTAAAATTATTGCAAACTTTCAGTTGAAATGTTTTCTCAATGTTTTTGTTTCCAACTATAAACCTTTTTTTTACTGTTCAATGTTTTTCCAATTTTTTGGATTCGATTTTTTCGGAAAAAATTTTGGTCTTTTTTTCGATTCGACTTACCTTCTCTTCTCATACCCATTTTCAGGCACTTTTTAAGCCTACAATATTGGCACTGGTTACGATGATGTTGATCTATTGGACAATTGCGACTACCACGACAAGTGTAGGTTAAGTTACGTCTTACTGATCTCTTGAAAAATGATTTACAACCTTCACAGGTAAACTGTCCATAGTGTTTACCGGATGATTTGTCCGAGCAAACTACACATTCAATTGATTGACCATTCTTGTCCGGCTCAGAGGTTGGTGTTGTTGATTTACCTGAATCATGGTGATGATGGACAAGGTAAAGCGATGAACTCAACGATCCAACCGAAGGTGAAACAAGTTGATCAGTTAGGTGAACTTTACCATTTAAAGGAGTTAAAGATGCCGTTTCCATGATTAGACGGTTAAACCTTTCACTCTCTGTCTTTACCTGTCTCTCAATTTTGATAATCTTGTCAAAGTACAATAAGATGTTGTTGTTATTATTGCTATCACAGATCACTTTAGTTGATTACAGATTTACACAAATTAATAGCCTTTTGGTTGACAATAATAATAACAAGTCACAAGTAAACAAAACACTGAATCAATCCTCATCATGTCATGGTGTCAGCTTGGTCATTGACTATGATTAGGGATTTACAGCTAATTTAAAGAAACCCAATCAAAGTGTAAATTAATCCATTTTGGTTTATTAAATAAAAAGTTAAACTTGAAGTTGATTTCAATTGCAAGACCAGAAACTAGAAAAAATGAAAAGCGCTTTTCAAATGTTGATACACTGTAATCACCTTGATTGTTGATTAATCATGTTTACTAATAGCAATTAAATCGCAAAAAACACAAAATGTAAATCTTAAAAGACTAAAAAAGTTTCACAAGTTTACTGTTGGACTGTGAAAAGCATAATGTTAAGCCGAACCAGAACAACAAAACAGCTCTTTTCATCTTCTTCATCTTCTGCTCTCTCTCTTATCATCTTCTCTCTCTCTTTTCAGTTACTTTTCTCTCTTCTTTTCTTCTTCACATTTCTTCTTCTTCTCTCTTCAACAACTTTTTCCTCTTCACCTTCCATGCCTTTTACAGGGTGTTAAAAAAGGCCTTTGGATGCGCAAAGATTAACATTTATCTTGAAATTTTTCTTCTTCATCTTCTCTTCTTCTTCTTCCTCATCATCATCATTTGATTAACTTTCGCCATTCCTCATCATCCTTTGCGCAAACCCTCATCATTCCCTTCCTTATGGGTGGAGAGTAATGGGATGAAACGAGCAGAAGAAGATGAGGATGAAAACGATGGAAATGATGAAGATAACGATGATGAAGAGCATGAAATAATGATGATGATTGGTATAGAAAAATATTTCAAATGTGAAAAGTCTTTTTCTTGGACAATTTAATCGTAAACTTTGTCTCAATTAACATTTAAACCAATGTTTCAACTTCTCAGTTGGACAATTAAGCAAGTCAATTAATCGACAGTTGATCATTTAATCAACTTGAATCGATTCAATTTCAGTGTCAACATAGAAGTTCAATTTTTTTGAAAAAAACATTTTCCTTTACTCATTGTTTCGATTAGACTTTTAAACATTTCAACTTTGCAATTAGATTGCAAATGATTTAACAACAAAGTCATTAAGAGTTGCACTTTCTTTACTTGAACCAATTAATAATTATGATTATCATGGAAAGAATCTGTTGATAGTTGAAAAAAAACATTACTTTAAATAGCATTAGAAGACGAAACATTAGAAGGAAAAAAAAGGTTGAATTCAGGATGAAAGGAAAGCTGAATGTGGTCAGATTATTGTTATCATTTATTTACAATCGTCCAAGCTTAATTAATATGACACCAATTAACTTAATGTTCATTAAATCATACTTTTGGTGGTTAAAAAAAGGAGCAAAATTTGAATGATTTTAGTGTGAAAAGTGAATCAATTTTTTCTTACTTTTCTTGTTAGTTTGATCATTATGGTGATTATGACTAGCTTGACTTGCTAATTAACTCATTAACTAATTATGCAAAGTTACAAAGTCAATTATTGACCGGGAAATGAATGGTTCAACTTGAAAAGTTGGTGAACAAAAAAGTTCTGAAAAAAAGTTAATGATGAAAAGAGTATTGAAAGTTATCAAGACTTTCTTTATTGTTTCAAATCTGATAATCAGGTTTAACTGTTGGCCACCAAAGAGCATTCATATCTCATATTTCATTACAATAATAACAATTAGATAATGGTTATGATGATCAGGTAAACAAATAGGTAATCAAAATAAACATTAGAAACATGAAAATTGTTTTCCATTACATTTTGTATCAACTTTCGTTCAATGAAACAATTGTGACTGCTCATGGTCAGTTGAAATAGATTTACCTGTGAAAAGGGTTTATTGATTAACATTATTGGCTAAAGTTAGTTACAATTCAATGATAAAGATTCTCCATCTTGACCATCAACAATAGAAACATTGAACAATCTTGAAATGCGTAATTTTGAGATCCAAACAGATGATTATTGTGATGATGATTTGATACCTGTAATCATCTTCTCTTGATCAGATCTTTCAGGTAAAGTTTCATTTTCGTCCTTTTATCATCTTCATCATTTTCATTTCAATGATCAAGTAATTGATAGTTCAAGTGTCTGTCTGAGTTTTTAATCAGAGATCAATCGAGGTGAATTTGATGCTAACACGACATAGTCTTAGGTTTGACTTTTACTTCACCTCGGCCTAAAAGTCAACGAGATTTTACGGGTTTTCTGGTTTCTATTTTTTCACTTTTCACTTTTTATTCAGATTTTTTTGTATTTAATTGCAAGTTCAAGGGTTAATGGCCAATTATCATTAACTTATAAATCCTAAGTTTAGCTTTATTCAGGTTCTATTGTTTAAATGCTATGAAACTGATATAATGTTTATTATTAAGGGTTTTCATAATCATTATCAACAACCATATTAGGAAAGTTTACAGTTTTTGTATTCCTCCATTGGTTAGGTTACAATTGAAGAATCATGTTATTTGTTGAAAATTTCAACTTTAATCAATCAAATTTTACCTGTAATCTAAGGTTAATCAAATTAATTAATATTATATCTAAATAACCTCAAGTTCAAATTGTGCGCTCACTAATTTTCAGCCAACAGTTTCACACTTTTGGTTAACAGCTGATGTTTGGAGGGAAACTGTTAATGCTGTATTAACTTTTCCACTTCATTGTTTGGCTGCTTTGTGGGATTCATTTTAAGTCTTGTTAATTAATTTTCTCTCTGTTTAACCATTTTGAATAATTATTAAGATAATCAAGGCTTTAGGTGCTTTCTGGTCAATTTAATTAATTTTATCAACACAATGGAACCAAGTAAATTAATTAATGGAGTAACCTTTCTTTTACTTTCCGTGACCATCAACAGTGTATATATCTTGATAACTGGATAAACATTTTTTAATGACCTTTACAACAGTCCATATTGCTTGATATCATCAGCATTTTAGCAAAATTTTAGTTAAATTAAGTAAGTAAATCATTATATTATTCAATTAGATTTCCTTTTTGCTTGAAAAATCACGTTTTTTAACACATTCTTCACTCTTTTCATGTTACAGAGGATACATATCAACACCACCACAGCATGGATTGGGATGAGACTCAAAATCTGACTTCAACTCTGAATTTTACCTTTACCCGGCTCAAGATGTGCTTTACCATTCACTCAATTCAGGCTAAAGCCTATTCAGGTAAAGGGATTTGGCTTAACGATCAAAACGATCATAACACATCGAATCTACTCTAGACTCTAAAATTTGGTCTTTCGTGCTTCGATCGGTCCCCCAATTGCTAGCTTCTGGTACTGATAGTGATGAATGAATTATCTTGAACTGGGAAAGCTCATCACTCAGATACGCGTTCAATACATGATTAACAATTAGACTGAATGTTGCTGCTTATTAACAGTCAGTTTACAATGTTAAGGTCAAACTAATCAGCCTTTTGAATGACTGATTAGTTTGATTCACTCAATACTACCATGAATCTAGATGTGTACATGTATTAAATTACTTTGACCTTTAATGTATGAGGATAGGATGAAGAAAACCATTGGAATTAATAATTAAAGCTCAATCTAATTAAAATATCATTCAACCTCTTCTTTCTGGTTAACCTCAAGCTCTTTTTTTACCTTACCTTTCATTACACTTATAGTCTTGATATCCTTCAGGTCATTTATTGATGATGTTAATCATCATCTTCATCAGCATGATGATCATCATCAACAACTAACATGATTGTGAACATAATAATAAAACACTTAATGAACAAATTTGCTTACTACGTTTTGTCTGTTGACTAATTAACAATTCAATTGATTACAAACTAATTTTACTTGATTGATCAACATTTTGTTTTTGCTTCCTTCCAACCTGAAGGCTAATTTTGATGAATCAGTTTCATCTTTAAAACATCGTTAACTACATTTAGACTGATTACAATTTACACATTGATTTTTAATTTGTCAACCAACTGTAAGTATTTTCCCACTGAATTTGAATAAGAATCAAATTGTAAATTCAAAGCAAAAGTGACAAAAATTTGTTCAACCATAAGTTTGAGAATAATGTAAAATTGAAATATCAATCGAATTCTTGAGGTTCAAATCAAATTACACCAATTGATTTACTGTCCCATGAAATTTTATCCATAAATGAATAAATTTAGATACATTTTTGACGATAATTAGCGCTTTGACTAAATTCAATTACACCTTTTAAGAGGCCTCAAATTAGTCAACTTGTAACATTTCCAGCAACCTTTTGGGTTATACAAGTAGCTTGACAATATAATTTTGAAATTCAAATCAGTCAAATTTATTCAAATAAATCTACAGAATTGAACCAAAATTATTGACCATGAAATGGGATTGGCAAGTCAATTGTATCAGAAATGTTTCACCAAATAAGAGTAAATAAAAAAGCAATTTACATTATTCTGTTTAATTAGTCAACTTGAATGTGAGATGAAGATGGTTGACAATGGTTAAGTCACTAGAAGCTACATTTACATTAAATAGCCTTTTGTTAAACTGGTTATTTTCAACTCTATTTAAAAGTGATTTAACCTTAATTATCATGTAATATAAATTTAATTGATGAGTGTCTTTCAATAGTGAATGGACAAGCAGCAGTTGATGAAACACCTGATTTTTGTCTCACAATGTCAATCCATTTTCAGCTGGCTTTCCTTGCCATCCTCACCATTGTGACCAGTAAGTGCTACCATTTTTCAGTCTATGATTATAACTATGATTATGAGTTTATAACCTAAGTGTCATCATCTGATTGATGTTTACATCAAAATAAATCAACAACAATCAACTAAATTTGTTTATTTTTCATTTTTTTTATCCAGTTGAAGCCAAAACACGAGATTACCTTTGATGGTTGCTGCTACTTCTCATGGCATTTTGTGAAAGACGTTTGTTGGCCTGTTACTTTCGGCTTCCATCTTTTTGTCTCTCTCTCTCTCTCTCTCTCTCTCTCTCTCTCTCTCTCTCTAGTCTTTCTTGACCAACTGACCTTACCGGTAAACATGATGGACAAAAGTGATAACTTGAGATAACAACAAGAGCAACAACAAAGTGATTGACCTTCTCGGCAACCTTAAAGTTAACATCAATTTTTTGCGTTCCACCAATTTTTTTAGACTGAGCAACTTTTCAAGCCTCAACAAAGTGGCCTATGATCTTAACGGATCTTTTAACCTTGATCTTTGCCCTTCACAAGATTTATTATCATCATTCATTTCTCATGTTGTTGTTGCTGCTGCTGTTGAATGGATCATTGAAGATTCAAAAAGTGATCATTGTGATGATGAAGACAAAATGTATTTGCCTTGTAATATTAGCTTGTCTGGGTTATGTTGACTGGATTATAATCAATGTTACTGCGATCAACTTATTTTACCAGCCAAATGTAATCTTTGGACAAATGTTGTTTTAAAAGATTCAATTTTAAGACAACTTTTGTCCAAACTGTTGCCCTGAATGTTTTAACCATCAAGCTTGCAGTTTCCCTGTTAATTGGTGAAAATGTTGATAAAGGTACAAATGCAAAACAGGATTCCACTTTTTTTGTTTGAAATCATCTTTTCTTTATTCAACCCAACAAGTTTGATGATGAAAATGATGATGTCTATCAAAGATTTGCTTCATGGTTCATCAATTACCTTCACTTGAATCATTTAAAAGTACACATTCAATTATTAATTGCAAATGGATGATCAGTGAAAAAAATAGAGAAGCAAAAATTCGTAGTTAACATTCATATTCTGACAAGCTCATGAAGCTATTTTACTTCTGCCTTTATCTTCTTCTTCATCCTTAACTTTTCTACTTATTTGCCCAGACATTTTCATCATTATCATCATCATTTTATTTTCAATAGAAATGATAAAATAACCTTTCATGTTGAATCTGCTCACAAACTGAACATGAAATGTTTTCTTTACTTCAATTGATTAACTCTCACTCTCAATTGATAATCATTACATCATAATTACATTGTTTACTTTCTGTTTACAATTAGTTCTTACACCTTTGATTGATACATTTAATTTATTTGAAACCTTTCAACCTTCAATCAAACAGCTAACCAAGCAAAACCAGTAAAACAAAAATGCCTCCAAATCAATTTGAATATTATTCAACTCTAATTATTATTTCTTATTATCCATTCAGGTTGGCCAATGATACCAGCTATTAACTGGAGCATGAATTACCATAAAGTACAATCAAAATGAACGGGAATTGACGGAGATTGGCCCGGGCAACCAGCCCTAAACATGAACACCTAAACAGAAGAAGAAAGAAGAAGCTAAATTCAATCTTTGGTCTTCTTTGTTTTGCTTTGCTTTAAATCATCTTCTTCATCATCGCCATCTTTTCGCTTTTTACTCGCTTCAAGTAATGTAAAAGTCCCGTTCACTGTAATCTGAACATCTCAACGAAAGTCTAATCATCTAAACAATTCCAGTCAAGGGCCCAGCCCCTTAAGGGTCTAAGAATCTCATCATCATTTTTCTCACTGGGTTTCCACTAAACTGACAACAAGAAACAACCAGTTAGTTGAATGAGCAAAGCCAAGGAATGGAAAAGAGAGAAAGCAAAAGAAGAAAAAATTGGTCTTGACTTGGAATGACCCTTAAGGGTAGGTTTAAGACTGGGTTAAATGGATTGCTGTTGAGTTGAAGGGAAAGTAAGGAAGTCAGTCCAGTCAAAAGCTGTCTCAATCGGTCAGAGGTCTCTCTCTATCTTACCAGTAAACGGTGGTTAGATGGTGATCCACCATAGGATATGATCAGGATGATATGGATGACAAAGGCCTGGATATTATTAGTTTAAACTATTTGATTGGAACCAAAGAAAATAATAACTTAGACAGAGGCAACCGAAGCAAGTTGAAGAAACGGTATGGAGCATTTACCATGGACCAAGAATATGGGTCCATGGGAACCAGAACTAAATGAAACTCTTTTTTTTCTTCTGCAAGTTTGACCAAAAAAAGGATAAAATCTCAAGATTGACATTATCAACTGGTAAAGATGAACAAGAAACCAAATAACCTGCAGTGAAAAGGCGAACCAGAAGAAATGGAAGGATTGAAACAATCTTTTTTTCCCTTGTTCTTGGGCCTACTTGTAACGCCCATGTAAGATTTTGGTCTAAAGGAACCAAAGAAATATTTCTCTTCAACTTACATTTTTCTATTGAGAGGCACAAAAAGGAAATTTTGGCCAAAGAAGAAAAAAAAGATGAAGAAAAATGTAGCTTGATAATATCAACTTACCTGAACATTTTTTTGTGATGTGTTACCTCAACTGTGTTAATAAACGATGGTAAAATCGTATCAACAGCAACAAACCAATTGGCACCTAACCCAAAAGATTTCACAGTTTGACTGTGCATTACTATTATTTCAAGTTTTTAACCTCAAAACCAAGAAGAGTCAATTTTTTCACACCTTTTACACTTTAACAATTTCTATTGCCTATTTATTTCCATTCCTTTACTACAAGGTAAACTGGCAATTATTGTCATCACCAGATCCGATGTTGACGCTGATAAATGTTGCTAAAGTGGACCAAAATTGTCAAAATTCATGTTTGGCAACAACAACAACAATGTCAATAACGTAAATTGAATGATAACATGGACTTTTAGGTGAACCATTACATCTTGAATGGGAAAGCTAAAAATATCTTATACTGTCCTTTGCTGGTTCAATTTTGATGTTAAAATGCAATCAAAGACTCAGAATCTGATTGAAAACAATGATAACAATTGAATTTTGTTGACTGTTACCCATTTCCGAATCACATAAATGTATTAAAACACAAAAGGAACCCAAGACCAAGAAGAAAAAAGTGCCCCAAAAAATTGACTTTTTCAAGGAAAAAGAAGAGGAGAAGAAAAAGTAAAATAAATGACCTCAAGGCTTTTTCCCATATTTACTTTGAATCCTATTATTATCATTGCTATTATAATGCAATATCATATCATCTGATGACCACAACAAAGTGACAAAGTGCCAATAACTAAAGGTGGTAACATGAGGTTAGACACTGAGTGAGCCACAAGAAAAAAGTACTGGACATTTTTACCCAAAAATAAAGGCAAAGGAGAAGCAAGATTTTAACCTGACAAGAAACACTAGAGGAACGAGATAAAGCAAGTAAAGTGGTCACTTGTGTTAGTTAAGAGAGGTCATTGGTCCAGGCCTATTCTCATCTCTTTCTTTTTGCTCTTACTCAAGTCAAAGGTCCTTAGGGGAAAGGTCAAAATGATTGCGGATACGAAGCCAGCAAAAAAAAACAAGAATCAAGTTATACCTTAAGAAATGAGGATAACCTTGTTAACCTCACGAACTCTCTTCACCTTTTCTTTGAGATTTTACCTTAAACTTAAACTGACTCTCTTTCACTTATCAACCCGTGTGACCTGTCTTATGGCTTATCTTCCGTGAAAAGGTCAAATCTTAAAGAGGAAACCCTGAAAACAAAATGTAAAGCCAAGGTTAGGTACAATAACATCATAGCACAAGATAGGTTAAGTTTGTGTAAATTTTTGCCGTTAACCGCCAAATTTGGTTCCTAATGGTTTACTTGATTTTTTTAGGTAACACAAAAAGGCTCATAGACTCAAGTTTAAATGATTAAACAACAATCAACATTCACTGTTTTTTTATGGGCAAGGTAAGGGGCTCATTATTATCAACCTCAGAAAACTGTTTTTTTTGTAAAGCTTACATTTTACATACGTTGGGCTTTTTTGCATACAGATTGAGAGAAACCAAAACCTAATGACAGTTATGATGGATACAATGTTATACAGTAAACATTGTTAACCTCCTAAACATATTATTCATATTTTACATTATAATAATAATAATGCATAATATAATAGTCTAAAGAAATCATTTAACTTTTTTTTTACTTTATCCTAAATTGTAACATGTTCATAACAAAAATATTTATCTTTCCTTTTCAATACAATGGTGAAGATGGTGATTTTCAATTGAATTGAAAACCGTTTTCACACTTTTCTTGCAACTTGACAGCATCTTTGTCATTGATTTTCATCAAAATACCCTCTATCCTTCCTAATATTGACCTTTTACTCTGCACTGACCACGAGCCAATTCATTTTTCATTATTAATGTCCAATAATTTGATTGACGTTGGATTGTTTGAAAGACGCGCTTCACAATCATTGGCTGACAATTTAACAGCTTTTTTGTCTTTCTTGAGATTAAAGCTGGTTGCTAAGTCGCTTTTTAAGCTCGTTTAAAAGTTAATTAGCCTTTGGATTTGTTAATTGTTACAAACTGTGGTTTTATTTGCTCGTCATTCAACTCTATCCTCTATGGCTTAAAAAAGGTAGTACATGTTTTATTAACTTGATTATCTCTTTCAAATAAGATTTACATTTGGATGATCTTTTTTTTTGTTCACATTTATTATTTGTGCCTAAGAGAGTGTGGTTACTGCTTTTTTGGTTAGTCATTTATCTGAGGTTAAGCTAATCCCTTTGATGGTTAAGCTTGATTTGGCCAATATAAAGAGTCAATCTGACCTTTTTTCAAGGCTTGTACAAAAAAAACATGGCTTCAACTTTATAGCCAATGAATCAATCTTATGAAATCTCAAATCTTTATTGGATTGAGCTTTGAAAGCAAGCGAGGAGTTAAATAAAATGGCTCAACCATTGGTTCCTCTTTTAATCCTCTTTTAGTTAAAAAAAATAGCTAAGTAATGTGAAAAGACCAACGAAACTGAAAAGGATAACTCAATCTCTGTGATATTTCTATCCATTATAACTATTAATTCAACAAGAAAAAAAAGCTAACCTCAAAGTCTCTTCCACTTCTTATTGATCATCATCCTTTTTGTTAATCTACTCACTCCTATTTTATCAGCCTTCTTTTCTTCCGGAAAATACACTTCTTTTTACTCATTCAATTCTGTTCTTGACATTGTCCACAATAGATTTGAATCCCCTTTGATTGGAAAAAAGGAGCCCAAAATCTACAGATAGCCAGGCAATATCTTCATCGTTACCTTTATAACATTTGTATTATCACATTGAAAAGGTAAATATCGACATAGACATGATTACAAAACCAATTTGCATTTTAAAGGCAATATCGTAATGCTAATATCTTCAACTGAACTTAATCCTACTTGATCAGTGTTAAGTATTGAAGCTTATATCAATAAATTTATCGATAATACAGTTTTAATAAGAATCCTTCTTTTCAATGAATACACCTCTTGATAAGCGAATTTTCAATTAATTACATTTATTTTCTCTTCTCTATTTTTCAGGTGATTCATGCTTTAATCTGCCAAAAATCAATCACAATTTTGGATCCAAGAAACTGAATTTCATCTCATGCTAATCATATTTGCGCTGTTGCATTATCTGTTGATTACTTGAGATGCATATTGAATCGTGAAAATGTGTTTGTGTGTCTAATCAAAAATAAACAAATGATTTGGTGAGTAAAAAAAGTAAATCCTAATCTCACGGGAAACTAGCTATTAACTGTTGATTTTTTTATATTTTCAGGTTGATCGTTGAAAGGCTTGAAAAAAGGAGAAAGTTTATTGTTAACGTGACTTTATGGATACAAAAAGCATCAACAAAATGATGAGAAAATACCTTGGAGAAGATTATTTCCACCATAATGGTAACCATGATGATGATTTTGGATGATGATTGAGTGACAATCTTCTTAACTTATTTTCCATTGGAAAATAGGTAAACATCACCAAGAAAACAAGGAGTTATAAGATGAAAATAAAAGAGATGCAAGTTCATCGTCAAGTTATCATCTTTGTATATTAAAATAATATACAAAAGTAAACCTTTCTGCTTTACAAAGATAACATTGAATGTTGTATCCAAAAAAACGTAAGAAAGCTAATTCATAAAACATGATGAATAGCATAATAATGTTTAGTCACTCTGAGCTTTTCTGAAATTTTTTCTTTGCCATCCTCATCTAAACATCAAATATATTTAAGAGTTGATGATTTAATTTAATTCTTGCATTTTCTCTATTTTCTTGCTTTTCCTTGCTTATTAATTTTGATCAGAAGTAATAACATAACATGATTCAAATGAATCCATTGTCATAGTTGCTGAAACCAACATCAACTATTTACTGTATAAATCATTTGTTGGTGTTAAATTTTTAGCTCAAGATTTTTTAGCTTGTCCTGATTGAATTGATTGAACTAAATGGTAACCATTTAGGCTTGCTAATTAAGTTTAGCTTTTGTTTAAACAGATGAACCTTTTGAACATGCTTTACTATGTTAATTTATGATTAAAATAATTGTTACCCTCATGTTTAACTAATTAGTTTTACCCTCTTAAAGGTCAATTAGGTTTTACTTGCAAACTCCCTTTGACCTTACCTTTCCACCTTCAACCTTCTTACAAGATGATAAACTGTGACTATTTTGTTTTGTTTGGCTTTCCATCATGCCTTCAATAACAAGACTTTTCAGTTCAACAATTAGTTTAACCATAAATTCAAACAATTTTACAATTTTGTAAATTTTTTGAAAACCTTTTGTCAAGTAATGCCATCTTGTGTCAATAGCAAATAGGCATATTTACTGTTATTAACATGTTGCAATAGCAAAAAATAAGCTTCTATTGTTTAGCTTTTAATTTTAATCGACTTTGATTTTTTGTCAAATTACAATCATCTATTGGTCATTGAATTTTGGTGAAAAAAGCTTTGATGTTTTGTATTGACACAATTTAATTTGATGATTGTAATGTAATGTTAAAGAGATGCTTTCATTGTTTCTCTTTTAACCAAAGATCAGTGACGATCAAGTGATGCTATAAGTTAAATTTGTTTCACGGTTCAAAGTGTTCATCCTTTGTTATTAATATCTTCCTCCATCATCACAATCATCATCATCATCTTTGCCTTTTCACTTTTTCACTTTTTTACTTTTTTTCTTCATTCCAGTGTCCAGAGATTGATTGTTGCCGACTCAAATCCCATTGTATGCCAAATTTTCATCAACAAATAACCTAACAATCTGATGGACTCTTCATCTCTTCTCATCCTCACTCTCTTTCACTATCTCTTCATCTCTTTCCTTGTTTCTCTCTCTCTCTCTCTTCCTTTTCCTCGGTCTGTTTGATTTGACACATTTTGTTAACCGCATCTTATCATCATTTTGACCAAATCATTTTCAGTCCAAAGGATGCTCTATACCTTTTTTTATCCACATTTATGTATCTACATTTCACTTTATTATCTGGTTTGCTATGAAATTTATGTCAAATGGTAAGATAACTTTTATTTTTTTCACTCCCAACATATTCCTCGTCATTTCATCATCCTTTCCTTTCCAATGGTTATTTTTACACCCTAACATTTCAACTTATTCACGGTTTGATTCTTATACCTTTTATTTATATATTGTTAAGTTTATTATTATGATCAAATTCAGTTTTATTATCGTCTTTTATCCAGTGTTAACCTTCTGTTATACTCATTCAAATCACTTTTCAAGTTTTTTGCTACTTTATCCTCATCTTTGCTCTCTCTCTCTCCCCAAGTATTTTACTAGATCATTAGGCCAGGATAAAAGGATCACACCTCATCCTCATCATCATCACCATCATCTCTTTCTATCTTCAATTGACTCCTCTTCAGCTAAATCCTCTTTCCTCCACCTTCATCATCATCTTCTTCATCTTCTGTCACACAAAGCATATTATTGATAAAATGGATTCTCTTTCATTAAATTGCTTTGGATTTAACCAAATTGTACATATTACATATGAAATGTTGTCTGTCGGTCAACCAAATATCAAGTTTATCAAACATCTAATATTGTATTCCTTTTTGTTCAGCTTCATTGTTTCTCTCCTCTTCAATTCATCTTCATCTTCACTCATCCTCTCAATTCATTGAGTACTTTATCTGTCCTTTCACAGACCAAAAACAGGAGAGAGAGAGAAAAAAAAACTTCAGATTCAATTACAATTCAACCAAAGAGAATCCATTTTACAATTTTATCACCATTTATTAACCATACTTTTGTTTAATCCGACAATCCCAGCAAATATCAGATAATTATGGAGGAATAATGTTCACCAAACAATTAACCAATATCCATGAAAAAAACCAGATTCAAGAATCATAACAAAATAGAGTCAACTTATAATACAATAAATTTTAATGACGATGACAAAAACGATACAGCTATAATGACGGAATCAAATTGCTTGTTAATAAAGGACTGGGAAGATACAGATTAACATTAAACCCATTTTAATCCCTGGTAACATGAAAAATGAATATTTAATCATTGATGATTGAAAATGATGATGTTAATTAAAAAAACAAAATGCTACATTAAATTAATGAAGCAAATTGACACTAAATCCTCTTATAAGATTTACCATTCTGTTGACAGCTTGGACATCATTTGATCACTTTAGCATTACATTTAGTGAGAACTCATTACACCTTGATCAGTTCATTAACTAACTAATATTAATGGACAATAATTTACTGAAGAAGCAAAAAATTTTCATTATAAATTATTAGCTTTACAAATTACAACAGTAGCTGTGTCAATGGGGAATTGTGATAGGATTTGTTTGCCAACTATTTTGTGTGCTTTTCCCTGACAAAATCAATTTCAATATAAGTTGATTGTTACCCATTTTTGATTGTTAGACAAATGTTTCACTTTTAACTCTTTTTTCTCTCTCTCTATCATTGACAGAAACAAATTGATAATAATGGACAACCAGGAATACCAACATAATAACAATAATCATAACCACAAGGATGATATACATAATAATGAATCTGAAGGAGTATCCGATGAATGGTCGTTTAAAGATAATAATCAATTGACTTTCTTTTGTGTTTTTATAAAAACACAAACAAAAAGCGGTCAGTAACTCTTTTTCATCCTTTACTGACCTCAACCCTGATGGGGTTAAAATATCTATTTATTGTCACAAAAAATATGATTATCAATGAATAGAGGTTGAGATTGAAGAAGATGAGGAAGAAGAAGAAGACGAGAAGGAAATGATTTGCCTTTCTAATATTGTCTTTTTTTCTTCATCTTCTTCTATCAATCATTTTATGTTTTCAATTTGTTATCAAATTGTGCATTGCATTGTAAATTTGAAGAGATTTTCAATGAAAATCGTGCGAAATTTCAACAATGATTAATGGATAGTTTAATCGATAACTGTTGATTAACTTTTAATTGCCTCTTAAATGTCTTTTGTGTTGTGCTCTTGTTAACTCAACTAACACTTTCTTTTGTTATCAATATTTTATTTCATTTCAGGTCTTAAAAGGTGTTTCCAAGGGTTTCGTTGTGATATTTCCTGTTTCCTATTTTATCAACTTTGAACTGATCAGGATGACGATGACGATGAAAAGGAGAAAGGCAAAAGAAGTGACAAACCAAAGTGTAAAGTTGCTATTATTATGATCAACATGATGATTCTCCTTTTTTTTGTTAAACAGATGGAAGAAGGCAGAGCAAAAGATGTCAGGAAGGATGTTGGATAAGATGCTGGGATGAAGATGAAGATGGTTTACAAGATGATGGAAAAGAAAAGAAAGAAGATGAAAATGATTATCAAGAGTAAATGTTGTGAAGTGGAAGGATGTAATAATGACAATAGACAATACATATAAAATGTATAGATTCACTTGATGATGACAATTGACTTTTCTTCATCACCATCTTCAACTTTATCCACAAACAGTCTCTCATCTCTCCTCATCCCTGGCTGGATGAAAAGTCACCCACAACAAGACTTCATCTCATTTTCCTCTCTTCACTAACTCTTCTTCTTCCTCTTTTTTCGTCTCTCTTTCCTCATCTTGCTCTAATCCAATTAATGAAATTGATCTTTCAGATTGTGATTTACTTGAAATTCCGTTGGATTGGAAACAAATGGAGTCAAGAGATACAGAAGGCATGATCAATTGAAAGTGACTACAAAACATTGTTCCCGTTGAACTCTCCTCATCATCTAAACATCTCATCTTGATCTTCCTGCTAACCACTTATCATTTGCGTATCCTTCAGATCCCCTCCTTTTTGACTTGTTTTGTTTTTTAGTTTCATTCCAATCGACTAGGATTGTTATTAATGTAAAAATGAATATTGATTCGATTGGAATGAAACTGAAAACTGAACAAAATGAACCTTTCCCTTGCCTTGGACACCTTTCATAACCTTCAACTTGTTTGTTGCCATTACTCAAATGAAAGGGTTAACCTTTAATGAACCTCAATCATCACTCTTTAAGATGAAACATTTTTTTCTCATTCAGCCTCATCTCAACCCTCATTTTTCAACCTCTTTTCATTCAACTTTTTTTTCTTGTTTGCTTCCTATTTATCTCCTCTAATGCAATTCACTTGATGACCATCTGTGTTCATCTTCTTATCCTCTCTGATTCCTCGTCCTCCCTTTCATCGTCATTATCATCTTTATATCTCTTAATGTTATCCACAAAATTAAAATAAGGCATCAATTTGATATACTCTTTTCACCACAAAAGAAGAGCCCAAGCTTTCATCATGATCATCATTCTTCTTTTCCCTGATTAACCATTGACTTCATCATCATCTCTGGTCGTCTCTTTCCCTATTTACATCATTAGAGCAACATTAGAAAGCAAATGATGTTGACCAGTTTCATGTGTTAATGAGAGTCACCATAATAATAACTTCATTATTTATCTTCTCTACTTTTTTTTATCCAGAAATGCTTTGTTACAATTCCAGTTTCCTCTTTTTTTCACCAGTAAGGTTACTACCAATCTTATTGTTTCTGGACAAATAAAGGCAGAGGGAAATGACGATGAAGATGATGGTGGTTAGGAAGACTGATTGCTAAAAAATGATGAAAACCTCGGAACCTTTGGTTATTAGCATGTCATGTGGATGGCCAAAAAGGGATAAAGATGAGACTGATAACATTGACGGTGTAAAGCTCATGATTGTATAAGAGTAACAATGGTTACTTGGATGGTCAAGATATGTGAATAAAAAAACAAGGAGAAAAACAAAGTCACAGGAAGATGATGGAGATGGCGAGAGAGGCCAAAAGACAGTCAACCAATCTAATGGACAGGTCATTTGGATCTATAGATTGTTATTATTATTGTTGATCATCTAATTTAGCCTTATCTGATGATAACAAAATGCTAATAACAACAGAGTAAAGTTGCAGGCTCAGATTGGTGTAGGTTAAAGGCAATATGAGAAGATGATTATGATCCATATGAGGAGGACAGAGAAGAAAAAAAAAGAGGAGAAGATGAGGAAGAAAGAGGTTGATAAAGGCCAAAGAAAAGGGCAAAGTATAAAAAAAGATGGCGAGGATAAAAAAATATGAGAAACCACAATTTTTTTATCATTTGATTTTGATCTATTCTGGTCCGTTAAGCCTAGAATTGATAAAAGTCAGTGTGCAGAGAGAGAGAAGAGAGGATGAAGATGAGGTTGAGAAAGATGATTGAAGAAGAAAGTAAACCAATGTCCGATTATATTAAAGATCATTCATCCATTTTGTCACTTCTTTTTTCAATTTCCCGTTGAACTGAGTATTAAAAAGCCACAAGAAGAAAAAAGATGAAGGAGAAGATGATTATGATGAAAAGGAGGGAAAGATGATTAGAGATGCTGTGAATGATGCTGTAATGATGATATCTAAAGATGCCAATGAAAGGAAGAGTAAAAATATGAAAGATAAAGATAAAAAATGAGATTCTGTTGCAAGGATTTGTCTTAAATCTCTTAAACTTATTTCATTTAATACTGATTAACCATTGAAATGTGATGTTCAGATGTTGTTGATATTGAGGCTTGAAAAATATATAAAAAAAAGGTAAAATTGAATCATTGATTGATTTGTTTCAAGTCAAAATGCTATTTGTCTTGATACAAACAAATGTACACTTAATCACTTTAAGGTTAAACTTGATCTTACTAATACACTTTGATCCATTTCTTTTCTTCCTTTTCATCCTTATATACCTGAATGGATACGTTTACAGCATTTTAAGTTGAAAATGATGATGATGATGATGGTAAAGCCCAATAATATTGATCTGGACTCATCAATTAAATTGACTGGAAAAGAGTAAGTTTTATAAACTGTTTTCATGAAAATTGAACTTCATTTTTTGTCTTCTTCTTCTTCTTCTTGGTTCAATTTTGGTTTGTTTAAAAACTTGTCTAGATTGTCCCATGAGATGAAAATGTGAATGATTATAAGGATGATGAGGATGATGTGATGTGTAAAAACATAGCACAAGAAGATGAAGAAAAGGCACAATCATATCTTGTCCTCTATTAACTTTTATCTTCTCTTTTTTCTTGTCCTTTTTTTCAGGATTGAAGTTAATTTTTATCGACGATTGATGACCATACAAAAGGACTCACAAATCGGAAGCTAGAGATGATGATGATGACTATAAAGATTTAAAAGATGCTGAGATGCTGATGGTTTTCAATGAGAGGCAAGCGAAAAAAAAGAGTAAACAGTTGACAAGATTATTTCCTGTTTTTCAGCGCAAATGTTTCCAAATAAAAATCCATTGATACGGATCATGAAGTTTAGATTAAAGTTAACAGCAATTTGTTTCAATCATAACCAACTATGGATACTGAGGATGATCACCAACATGATCACCAACATGATCACCAACATGATCAACATCATAATCATCATTATTATTATCATCATTTTAAGGAGTTGAAAATTTTTCAAGAAACATGTTTCAATGGTTTCAAGCTGTGCTTGGATAAGCAAACATGGAATTCATTTTTTTAATTTCATCTTTTCTCTTTGTTTTTTAGATTCATCGATAGATTGGTTGCAAAGTTGAGGAAGGATTATCAAAAGGTGGAAAATTATCTGTTAATAACTGTCCTTGGTGAAGTTGATTATAATCAATGTTAATATTCATGTTCAAGTTAAGGATCTGATTATTGTCAAACGTTGTGGTTATGATGGTAATGGTGATTAGACAAAGGAAAAGGATGATGTTAATGATCAAGAAAGATGCTCAAAAGTCTGAGAGTTCAACCTTTTCCATGTTATGACCATTGTTGACCAGAATCAATTCAATTCAATGAGAAGGCAAAAAAAAGTGAAATGAAAAAAAGCAAGTTCATTTGGTAGCTAATCATTTCAAATGGTCATTTGCAACCTCTTTGAGTTAGTCAATAGTTAACATTACAAGGGTGAATAGATAAATCTTTATGACATTTTCACTCTATTTCAATTTGTATAATTCAGTAATGAGTTCAGGTAATAGTCAAACAATAAACGGTCAACATTAACATTAAGCAAATGGTGCAACTTGAAAATGGATGGTTAACCAAGAATCACTGATTTCAATGTTTTCAGCCTTCAATTTTAAACCAATTTAATTGAATAATCGATATATTTGGAATGATTAAGAACAGTTTTAGTTTTTGAATGGAAATTTCACAAATCGAAATCCGAGGTTAAAACATGAATTTCAATAAATAGCAATTGAAGTTGCATTAAGAGTGTCTTTATTTGTGGATAACATGAAGTTTATATTAATATTTGAAGACAATAGCAATCAAAACTATATAGAGTGTTGCTGTGAATATTTGATATGTCAGATCAAACAGAGAGACAGAAAAAAGCGTTCAGATACTCTCATGAGATATGGTTCAGTGTATTTTTTTCTGTTGCTTTGTTTTCATTGAACCTTTTTATGACAAGAAGCAACTAGTATTCATCATACTCATCATCACTCTTTCCGCCTTAATCAACTAACTAACTGTTTAATTGATGCCTAAGAGAGAGAGAAGGAAGAAGCAACAATGAACCAACAAAAAAAGTTACACCGGTAACAGCAAAAGCAACAGCAGCAACCACAAAAAAAGTAAAAGTCAGAGACAAAATGTCACTTTGATGACAAAAACAATATCACCAACAATCGTGATGAAACAAAAAAGTTGATGATAAACTTAATAAACAAGCAAAAGAAACGAGCAAAAAATGAAAATGAAAAGTTGAAAAAATCACAAGAGACGATCATTTTGACATTTACAATTAGAGTTGGTTAATAATCAAAGTGGCACATTTTGTCTCGTTTTAATCAAAGCTCTATAATCATCATTGCGGTTCAGTACGAGTCAGGCCTCAAGCTGTAAATATTGCAACCTAAGAAGGTCTCTCTTGTCCCATCAAACTAAGTTCACAACTAGGCCTTTTGTACGGAGAAAATGAAATGAACATTTCTTTTCTTATTCCAATCCTTATCATGATCTTCAATATAATTTTCACCCTGACCATCATTATATTTATCATTATTTAAGTGTGATTAGTTAAGGTTACCTCAGTAGCTTGACTGTTAGCGTAACCTGAGTAAATCACTTTAGTCCCATCGAGCAAAGCTTACTGTTAGACCTTTTGTAAGTCGAATGCAAAGTCAAATTGAAAATTTTACTCTCGCTATTTTATTCATCTGTACTTCCTTCATCTTTATCATCTCTATCATCCTTATCTTCTCGACCCTCCTCTTGATCATGTTATAATGTAATTATAAACGTTTCCAAGTGAGGAGTAAAAAGTCCCAGTCTTATGAGTTTCGTGATTTAATTTTTTGCTTTCTTTTGCTGACTTTCACTGTCTTTGCTAAATTGTTTGAAAATAATATCAATTAAGAGAGAGAGAGGATGACAAATATACAGCACTAACTGTTGCATCCAAGTGTAAGATGAAATGATGAAAAGATGATGATGAAGAGAATGGGAATCAAAATTTGATTACAATGTTGAAAAAATTAAGATTTCCAGTTAAACCTTATGTTTCCTTGTTAAACTGAAAATGATGTTTCATTTGTTTCTCTCCCTTCATCATTCAATTGTAATGAATTGTTTTGTTTTTTAATTTAGATGAAAATGATTGCAATTGCTGTTACCATGAAATTAATTTTTCTTGAGAAGCTGTTGATAGTTTGGTTTGTTAATGTTATTACAACAATATTATCATTCCTATTATTATTATTATTATTTGATTCTGTTTCTTTCATTACTTTTCTCCATCCTCCTTTAATGGTTAATGGTTTAAACCCTTTGAGTCTTGTTGTTAATAATACAAACAACCATTAATAATCTTCTAGTTATTTTCATTCAACCGTTAATTTGCCTGTTTTTTCATGATTATCATCATCAACAACAACAATCATCACTTTAATTTTTGGCCCTTTACGCTTTCACTTGATGTTGTACAATTTTTCCCTTTTCACTTAATCACTTTTGTATAATCAAACAATTAATTGTCAACAATCATTCCGTGGTCAAGTTGTGCCTTTTGTTCCGGTCAATTGTAACTGCAATTTGTCAATTTATCAATTAACTAAACAACCATATTGTTGCCCTAATCAATTCAACTTTTACTGTTTACAGTTGAACAGAAGCGCTTTATTTAAATGCGTTAAAGGTTGCCATTTGAAACAATTGATGAACACTTGACAATCAAATTACCTTGATTGAATATAAAGTCAATATCTTTCCAATTGGTTTAGTCGTTTTATTTCAACTCATTTGTTTTGTGTGATTTGAAGGAAATTATTTGAAACAAATGATTTTTATCAAGTAAAATGATGAACATTAATGATGATAAAGTAAATAACTATTATCTTCAGCTTTCTGATGTTATTTTGTCTTTGCAATTTTGTTATATTATATTTTGTCTTGTTGGTTAATCTAGATTGATTGTTTAAAGTAGATCATCTTACCGCAATTTAACCAGATACAATAATGGAGCTGAAATAAAGTGTAATAAGCTTCATTTTTCTTGAAAAGCCTTGGAAAGATGTTTTCAAGTGAAAAAAAGGCACAAAAAAAACAAAGATGAGGATGAAACAAACAGTTAACCCTCTAGTCTTGTTGTTAAGATGATTAATGATGTAAATAAACAAATTTTTATAACATGAGTGATGATCATTTTGTTTTCCAGTGTGATTATCAGTTTATATAAGATGAGCATGAAATGGTGAAGAGAGAAGATGAAGAAACTGTTCGCATGAAAACCAATTGTTAACTTTTCCTTTTCGCCATTTTTTAACCAATCATCATCAACATCATCATCATATTAAAGTCCTCTTAATTTGCTTTTTTTTACTATACCAGAGTTTATCTATCAATTTGTCTTCTCTATTCTTAAAAATTTATATTCGCCGAGTTTTCTTTTACCTCCTTTCATCTCAACAAACATTTATCATTGATAAGGAGAAACAGTTTTAAAAATGAAACAACTTCAATCTTTCAAAATTGTCACCATCTTTTTTTAACAATTACAAATTGTTATTATCACTGTTAACCATCACTCATCTCTAACTAGTCATCACACTTTTCACTCTTATTTTCACCTTGATTTGGTTGAATGAGCTCAAGATTACAATTAACTGTGCTCATGTTGCATATTTCAATTATTTTGTGTAAAATGATTACAGTTATCACAGTCAACTTGGTATAATAAGATGGTTAAGATTCACAAAAACCTCAAAATATGTTAAAATAAAATCCAGTTTAAGTTCAGTCTTTGAGTTTTAAATAAAAGATTCACAGCAACTAATAAATCTTTACACAGGTAAATTAGAGTAAATCAGCAATTTGGAAAACTATAATTAAAATTTAATGTTATAATTCAATGTAAAATACTCGTCAATATTGTTGTTGTTTGTGTTGCCCTTTTCAGTCCAAATGTGGCGTTATGGTCATTTGTGGCGTCTTTTTTAAAATCATTATAAATCAATTGCAAGCTTTACTTTTTTTTCACTCAATTTGATTTGAAGACACACACACACAATTTATGATTATTACCACTATTTCAAGAGTGATTACGATGATTGGGATGATCATTATATACTGTAACTTCAAAAAGATGTAACCACAAGTCAACTGGGAAAATCAATTGATTTCAAAGGCGTGAAAATTTAACTTGAAAATACATAACTGCAAATTGGTAAACAAAATTGGCCTTTGCTTGGTTTTATTTCATCTCCTTTTTTGCCATGCATTTACGGATATTTTTATCTACAGATTTATTATTATCAAGGCTTCAAAATAATAATCATGATAATAGCAGTGATAAAATGATGTTATTGTAAAAGTAAAAAGTTGGATAACTTATTTTTATTTAAACGCGTGTGTTTCAAAAACGCGTGCTTCAATACAATAGGAAACGTCTTGGTTTTATCATTTTTTCACTCAATATTGACTCAGTTTTTTTACTCGTCTTTGCTCATATTGTTATCATTTTTTACCATTATATTGTATTATTATGATTATCAATATTGATATGAATAATATTGTGAAAATCACTTGAAATGGAGAAGCAAAATGACGAGAAAAATGGTTTAGACTGTTGGTTGATGGTTGGTATGTTTTGGGCTTTTTTTTAAAAAAAAGAACCAAATTTTGTACCATTATTATTGTAGATTTATTGATAACAATGGGGATTCCGAGCTCATGCTAACAGCTTATTGGCCTTTATCGACCTCCATTTATTGTTTTGATTTATTAACATTCTGTTCAATCGTGATATCAAATCTCGGCATTTTTGTTCCAGCTCAACCTTCCAGTTGTATTACCAATTTTCAAATCAACTTTGATAGTCAGGAATGGTGAAAATTTGCATCTCCAACTGTATGTTTTGTAATTGCTTTAATATCTTCTCATTAGCATTTTACAATTAACCTCCGCAACTTTATTGTTAACATTTCTCCTATCCTCTTGGTGTCATATAAGTAACAAAAGGTTTAATGAGATGAAAAGATGTGAAACGTAATTGTAACTTGAGTAAGAGAGTCATAATTAAGAGTGAATATGCAATTGTAAAGTTGATCTCAATGTTGACTGTCGTTTTTGTTTGCCTTTACTGTTACAGGATCCAAAATTAAAGTGTTAACCAAAAAAAAATCATGGCACACTAATCATGGTTGACATACATCAGGGTGAATATCAACTGGATAAATCATCATGAACAAAAAATGTAATATCTGGTTTATTCTGGTTTGTTGTTGTTCAGCTATTTGCAGTTGAACGTGTAAAATATTTGAGTGTTACCAGAGTCGATGAGTTATTACCCAAAAAGGATCAGATAATTTGTAAGGTAACAAAAGGATAATATTGAGTTTGCAGTTTTTTTTGCACTTCTTTGGTGGACATATTTTGTTGTTTGTTACTTTTAATGGACATCATCATCACCATGTTCAGAATCTTGAGTTAACTCTGGTAACTTTTGGGAGTCAAGATAAAACAATTATCATTCGTCATCATGAGGAATCTTTTCCATTTTCGTCTTGATTCTTTCATTTCGAGTTTAACTGAATAATGGTTAACTTGAGTGTACAAAAAGACAACGGCGAACAAAAGCATTCCAAGTATTTTGTTGATGTTATGTTGTGGCTTTTGTGGTTGTTGCTTGACTCTTGCTGATTCCGAGTTTGTCATTTTTTGGTAAGCTTTACATTCTTACCAAAATATTTACTGAAATTGAATTGAAAAGAGATGATGACAGTTGCCTTTTTCGCTTATTATTGTGATATTATTACAAGTTACTTGAGGTTAAATGATTTGTCTTGAAAAGATGTGAATCAAAGAAGAAGATGGTAAAATGAAATTCTCTTTTTTTTCCTCTCTCCTCCTTTTCTTGGCATCGACTTTTTTTGCTCATCTTCACTCCATGAATGGACGATTATGTTTTTCATCATCTTGCTGGTTTATTCTCATGTTATTCTGATAAATCACTTCACCATGAGGGACTTATTTATCAATAAGAGAGTCACACTAATAGAGAAACAGCATCATCAACAATAACAATAAAGATGAAAAAATTGATGAACAAGAAAGTGACAATATTTTATCATTCTGTGTTGATAAATGAAATGAAAAACAATCAAATATAACGAACAGCAAATTATTTCCATTGGTTTCTCCAGCAATTGAACAATAATTGACATTCTATCAGTAATAATAGCACTAAATTGTTATTCGTACAGCAAAATACACACAATAAACCATATTCATTGATCAACTTTGCCCTTAGAAGTACCATGTAATAAGCTTCATTTTATTCACCAGATCAATAAAAGCTTAAATCTTGAAATGTTGTTTCAGATTCTAGTTAAGGTGAAACCAGCTGAAAATTATGATTAACTCAGGAATCATTTCCAAGAAATAAACCACATTTTTGAAGTGTAACAAGAAGTCAATGAAAAAAATCTTTAACCACTAACTGTGAGTTTGTTTCAAAAGTTTTAACCATTCAATGAAGCAGTAAATCTAGTTAGAATGATTAATATGATGAGCCAGAAGAAACAATGAATCAATTGGGTGAGCTGATAAATCAATCAAGCAACAGCAATTAAAACTAACAAAAAAAACAAAAGACAAACATTACAAAATTAACAAATTAAGCTTAACATGTGTTATGAAAGAGGGAAAATTTCCCTCTTAAACTGTTGGCCTGGCAATGGTGAGGGGAAATCACTACATTGAGACTTGTAATTGTGTTAACTCATTGAAGCTTAGCAAAGATAATGAGAAATAATTTCAAGTCAATTAATTAACCATTTAGTGGTTCAATGTTTATCCTTCAGTTTTATATTTATAAATACTTATGTTTTAACCATCGGTGGATTAAAATATAAGCAAATAACGGTGTTATAGACGATAACAATGGACGTTTGACCATGAAAAAGGAATAAGTGAAACATGAAACAGTTATGTGTAAGTTTATTTTTGTTTCTCTTTCTTTGCTTCTCTTTTGCGTTTTTCTTCATTTCCATTTTTCTCTTCTGACATTCTAATTCAGTTACCAAGGAATGATGTGTAATGGTTGTTACTTTGTTCCCCATTGGCAGAATCGATTATCATTGAAGGACTCTCAAAGGACCATTGGACATACAAAAAGAGAAAGAACAAGAGCAAAAGAAAAGAAGATAATGTTGCTACTGCTGTTTCTGATGATGATGATGATCCAGAAGAGTTACATGGGTCCATGACACCCTAAAAGATGTCCTTAATGAATTTATCTTCTTCAATTTCACCAACAATCTCAGTGTTTGATAACATAAATATATATATATATATTGGGTGAAAGAAGTTATTCCGCCTTCTCTATTCTTCTGGATCATCATAATACAAGAATCGTCAAAATGGACATACACAAACACACCAAATACGGATGAATCTCTTTTCAAGTAACAATCCATATTGACATATACATTTATATATATAATATACCTTTATTCACCATCTATTTAGCATATTATTTGTATTATTATCAACCTCAAGTGTCATCCAGTTTTGTCTCTTTGGCTTCTCAATTGAAACAAGTTGTTATCAACAGCAAAACCAAGCATCTAAAGAGGAAAAAAATGGAAACCATTTCATTCATAGAAAACTGGAACTTTTATTATATTATCATCGTTATTATTAGAATTATTTTTAATACAAAACCAGCTCATACCAAACAGTTAAAATGGAAAGCTAGAAAAGCGAGGAAAAAAAAGTTAAATGTTTTGTCAGACTTTTGTATCAAATATTATTACATGAATGATTATCAACAATGAAAGTGTTTCCAGTGTAAAGTTAACACACAAATTTTGGTTGTGTGATAAAAAGGCTGTAAATCCTTTTTCAATTCACTTTTGATGAACAATTTACAACTCTCAATTGTTTAATTGGATTAAATAGCTTTGAAAATTTTTAATCCTTGATGATTTGGTTTCATGTTAGCATTCGCATTATTTATTTCAAGATTGATTTCGCCGAGTGCTTCGCAAAAATTTACTCTAACTGGCTGTTGCCAATTTCATTTGATTTCACTAAAACTCAAATGATATTGATGATTGATTGAAATATTGAGTGATTGATCAAGTGCAACAATTAAAAATCTTATTGCAACTACTAACCGAAAAAACGTGATCAAATTGATGATAGACTTGATTCAAAGCCCAAGAAAACCAATGTTTTAACCAATTCCAAGACGAAACTCGTGATAGCGTAAACATGAAAAGAAATGGAATCTCAAGATTAGAAAATGAAAAGTTGAAATCAAATTGATTGGCAACAATTAACTTAAAAGTGTCATTTGACAAAAATTTACTAATCCAAATGTTGAATGCAAAAATGAACAATCAAAATAAACGTGAATAAGACGTCTAAATAAAACTTAAACCTTGACCAACCAAGCAAGCTTTAATGTCGATTAAAATCAATTGAAACTATTTAATTTCCAGCTAATTAACAATCAGATTGATGAACAAAATAAAAGGCAATTGATTGAACAAGGCAAACATGCAACACAAATGCATGAAAGTAAAGATGAAAATGGACAAGATTGAAAGAAGAAAGGAAAGCGAAGGAAGATAAAGATGATTCAGGAAGAGAGATTCGGAAGATTGAGATGAAAGCTTTTAACATTTTTTTTCATGCAATGTCCGGAGTTATCAGTTAAACCAGTTTTTGATTTGAAAAGCATAGATGAAAGTATATTTATGCGTATAAATATATATATTTTCTGGGAGGATCATCATTCAATTTAGCCTCTTTTCAACCTTTCATATTTTTTGTTCATCTTCATCACGGTAAAAGCATCATCCTCTGGAAGATCAAACCATTCAGTCATGAGAGTCAAACATGTTGTCGTGAAAATGGCAATAACTGTAAGCTTTTCATAAACCATAACAAAACTCATCTTTCCATCTTCATCTTTCCTCTTTTTTTAATTTCAATTTGATTTACAATTTACATTCAATGTCAACTTAAATGAATCCCAATATTGATTAGGAAATTAAAAGTTGAAAATGGTTGAGACCAGAAAAGTAGGCAACATTAGTATAAACATATTTGAAGATCAAACATTTTTCATCATAAATTGTTCAATGTGTTGATAATGATGGTGTTGATGATGACACACACACAAATGTGAACAAACTGAAAGAAGCAAAAATGACCACAAATTGAATTATTATCAATTTATCTGGCCATTTTGAATGCAGGGAAATATCAGTTGTCAAATGGTTACTTTGAAAATATGAAAAATATTTTCACTTTTCTTCCTCTTTTCATCTTTTTTTTTATTCATCTTTGAATTCATTTTAGTCTCTCATTCAACTTCTTATCTATCTTCAGATGAGTCTTTTTGTCCTTTAAACTGATGAAAAGATTGACCCAAAAGCGCATCATTTTTGAAGCTGTACAATGATAAAACCTTTCAAGTCAAGGTGCCTTAGTTAACATTAACAGGAAGACGAGTAAAGATTTGGATGACAAGATGATGATCAAAATGGTTTCATAAATGAGACAAAATCTGATTCAATTTAATCATTTTTTGTCCACTTTTACGGTCACTTTTTTGTAACCTTAAAATTTACTTTTTTTAGCTTCCAGCTTCAACCAAAAGCTGACAAAAAAATTCAATCTTTGTACCATTATTGTTAGGTTAAGTTGACCATTCAATGATTCTGAAGCTCAAAACTGTATTTTTTTTCTTGTTATCCTGCATGATGACCTTCCCATATTAAAGGCTATAATAGGTTATAACATATAAGTTTATCAGAGCATCAATGAAATTATCGTTGAAATAATCATTAAAGGTTACCAACAATTGAATTGACAAATTGTTTAACCCCTAAAAGGTTACTTTACAGTTGAGTCTCTAAAGTTGATGAAACGTTTCTTTAATTGTTCACATTCAAGTAAATTATTTTCATTCCCAAATATTTAACAAGAATTGCTATTAATTTCAATCTTTCCTCTAATTTGGTTAAACAAATTGAAAGGTAAGCTGTTAAGTTGATCAACGAGTTTAACCATTGGTAACCATAATTGTGATGAGACTGCACTTTGCATTGACTGTTAACGCCATTTCATATTCGTTATTGTTTATCCGTTAATTTGATTAACTCGATTCCATAATTTTACTGATTATTATGATTCTCTTGTTATTTGATTGGCCATTGGTGGACACTAGTTAACTAGTCAACAGTTTTACGTGCGCTTAGAAGAGGAAGATGAAGGTTATGAGTTATCTTGACTATTTAATGATCTTGGGTTTGTTTTTATTGACCATTTACCTACTTTTGGTGATCAAGTGATTATTGAGATTATTGGAGATTAACAGTAAACTCTGAATGAGGTAAACGGTTAATTTCATTATTAATTGGCTTCCATTGATTGGTAAATGTTTCATGTTTCCCCAATGATTAATTTGCATCTTTGGTCATAAAAAGAGTGTATATTTATGTAATTAACAATGACAAGATTGAAAAGGTAAGTTAATTTTATGTTATTAATTTCATATTGGTCAGTTGTTGACTCGATTCATTATCTTTGATCAATGTAATGAAAAGAGGAAAGATCAAAGTAATCATAATAATTAACAAACAGCTTTTTTGACTTGTTTCCAGGTTCAATGAAAATACAGAATGAAAAACAAGAAGCCAAAAAAATAAACAAACACAAAGTGAATGATTAATTCATGTAAAGCTAGATGATATGGATGATGTTGTTAATGAAGATAGTGGTGAAGATTGTGATGAAGATAGTGAGGTTGATGAAGAGGAGGACTGCGCAAAATAGTGGATGGTTAAGGTCGGCGTTGAGTTTAAATGAGGGTTACTTGGGTGAAGTCAAGGTGATGAAGATGATGGTTGAAGACCAGAAAAAAAAGGATGAAAGTGCATGTTAAAATGATGATAATGTTGGGCAAGAAGGCGCAAAAATTAATCATGAAAGGGATTAAATGGCAAGGAATGAACACGCCTTTGAGAAGCTTAGCTAAATCTATTCAGCATTAGTTTCTATGGAAACGTTCCCATAACCCAACTCTTATTGGTAAAGTTGAGCCAAATGTAAACTCCTACTTTTCATCTATCACCACCTCTCTTCCTCTTCATCTTTCGTCTTCTTCGCCTTCTTTATCTTCATCTTTATTATTGCCATTTGCTTCTTTAAACTTAGCGCCATCTTCAGTGTCCAAGGTTTCCATTGGTTGTAATGGGTTGCTAATGAGACGAGAAACAAGACATTAGTTCAAATTTATTTCATGTTTATGTTCATTTTAATTGTAATTTTATTTCTTAGATTGTTGCCTTAATTTAATTTTGTTAATTTTGTTTCTTTATTCAGTTTGTGCTTTAAACTTACCTTGCATTAGTTTTTGTTAATCAATTAATTCAATTTGGGTTACAACCTGTTTTGTTTGGCTTTTATCTTTTCTCTGTTTTCTTGCCATTTCCCTTTTTTTCATCGTATTGCTTACCTTATTGGTATTGTGTTAATTGAATCATTGGTAGTTTTTTTCCTTGTGTTACATTGTATTTTTGTTTATTTGTTTGTTACTTTTATTGTACACAATTTGTGTACAGCTCAACACATTACATGATTACCTCTACCTGAAAGGGGAATCAATATAATAAGATAATAATTTGCTTGGGAATTCATTTTTTGCTTCTTGTCCTACTCCGTTTTTTGTTGTGTTCAATACAAGGGAAAAAATGAGATTAACCTTCCAGAAAAGTAAAAAAAAGAGGGATTATAATCAGTTATGGAATCTGATTTAGTTGATAAATGAGGTTGATTATGTTTTTTTGCTGTAAATCTCATTAAGATGACAAAAAGAGTAAATGATTTTTAGGATGACAAGAGCGAGATTGTATAAAAGCCAAAAGCTTTAATGAAAATCATTTTGATGAATATAAGTGACCTGCAGGCTAAATGATCATTGGTCGGACTTTAACTTAATCATTGTTTGTTACTTTGGTCATTTTATCTACTACATCATCATCATCAACAACAACAACATCATCTTTAGTCTTGTCCATGAAAAGAGCAACAAAAAATGATCTGTTATGTTAAGGAAACAACAATGATAAAAAATTATATAACATCTTTCATACTGACCATCAACTTTTTTGGTCTCATTAAGCTCAATAATCATTTAGCTTTCATTTTCAATGTAGTTTATGTTAATAGTGTAAACCATTTTCATCCAGATTTAGCTCATGAACAAGATGAGAGACAAAAAAAGGCCAAAAAATGATATTTTAAGTGTAAAAAACCGATTGAAACAATGTTTTTTCATGTTGCTTTATAAGACAAAAAACAAGGTTATATTGATCTGTTAACATTATTTGTATCAATTGCTTATTAGCTGATGAAACCCATTGTTATATGATTGATGAAGGGATAAAGATTAACATGATTTTAAGTGATTGTGGAGGGAAATGTGGAATGATTTAAAACTAGATTTAACCTAATGATGTTCACAGAGTTGCACTTGAAGTTCATTGAAATTCATTTTATGGCTCTTGAGCTGTCGATTTGTTTCATTGTATTAGATTTGTTGTAAAATTAAGGTTTAATATTATAATACTTGAAATGAGAATAAAAAATGGATTTAAATCTAACCAGGAGTTGGACCCGACAAAGATATCATTATTCAAAGGCTTACACTTAAAACTAGAGTTAAAGAGTTGTCCTGATTTGATTACATTAAGTTGCATTTGTAACTATTTCATGACTGATTATCTGAAACTGTACTAATAAATTTGTTGAATAATAGGCTAATGATATTGCAAATATTAATAATCCACTTTATTAACCAAGTTATCCGGAGATAAGGTTAGAGATTTACTGTATCTATGGTTGGGTAAAAAAACGATGGCTTCTTTCAAGAGTGAAATTTTGACGTTTCCATATTTTGTTGTTGTATAATGGATACATTTGAATATATATTGGATAAGATGGGTTGATAAAAATGTTAAATAAGGTTGAATATTTCAAATAAACCTTAAATTCACCTTAAAGATAAAACTAAAATTGAATAGCAAAAGCCAAGGAGGTAAAAAAAAGGTAGAAAAAAAGAAAGAAAACGTTAACATGTATTAATACCAAAGGGAAGTAAAGATATGTAAATAGGAAAGATTGAATCTGATTATTAGAGTATCATGTATTCATTATATTGTGTCAAACTGTTGTTTGGTATCACCATCATCACCAATAGAGTTAAAGTCACTGATAAACTGAAAAATCTTCAATTGATTGGTGTGATGGCTGTGAGTGTATAAAAACATATGAAGGAGGAAAGATGTGACCCAAGAGGAAATGATTGAAAACAAATTACCTAAACAACGGTAACAATAACACAAGAGGTTTGAATAATAACACAAAAGAGTCAAGAAATATTGGTGGTAAGAAAATGAAGATGAATAAATTATCTTCATCTCTTTTTTTTCTGGCTGTCTAAGAAGATGGATAAAGTTAAAGGATAGACGATTGAAGGGGAAATGGGAAAAACAAGAAGATGAGAGAGAAAAGAGAAAGTTAAAATGTTGATTAAAGTTACCATTAAATTGAGGTAAAGAATAAAGCAAAGTGATGAGAATTGTTTCCAGCCGAAAAGGTTGCTTATTGTCTCCCGAGATAAAGGTAAAAATGATGAGAAGAAGTAATTGTTGATTTGGTAAAGTTGATATTTAATAAAGATGAATTACCTGTCAAATAATCCATTTAACTGGTTAACATAAATACCCAAAATAAAAAGCCAAATTAACCAAAAAGTAATACAAAAACCAAACAAAAAATGTAACAAGTGAACAAAATAAAAAAGTCAAATAATGGTTGCCAAAACGCGCTTCTTTAGGGAAGGGAAGGGAACGTTTCCATATTACAATATTTATAAATTAATGTCATTTTGAATTTGATTTACATTTTGTTTATTATAAAATCAAATAATATCTTTAACCATTTCAAAGACTGATTGTGATTAAACTGAAATATTGACTGTAATAGAAATGACAACAATGTATTTTAATAAAAATCTGTAACAATCTTCAATTGTTTTGTTAAAGACTGACTTTGAATCAAAGAGTTATACTCTTTCCTTTGATTTGCTCATGGGAAATGAATTACAATGTTTCAATGAATTTTCATTTGACAATCATTTACCAATCATTGTCACAATTGGTTTCAAATAATTCATTTAGATTGACAAAAATAGATTTTCGCAATTTTAATTGGATAAATCTTTGATTCAGATCTAGTAAGATCAGATAATGCAACTCTTAAGGACTAGATTCATCTGTAGATCAGATCTTACTTTGATTCAAAACTGCTGATCATTTCGTTCTGTTCTGGTTCAATTATTGAACTTTAATAATCTTATTTGTGTAAGTCATTTTTTTGTCATCTATTAAATGTAATTGATTTAGATTATCAATATCTTCATGACTATTATTGTTAACAAATGTGATTTTCTTTGTTGTATAATGTAAGAAAAGGAAAGCTTTGTCTGTTTGGTGCTCTCTATGTGACGGTTGTTTTGTTGAATCTCTTATGTAAGGTAAGTGTCAATAGTTAATTCAATTATTAAGCTACAGTTAATTTGTAATTTGATAATTTCATTTCTATTTCTATCTTTTTATTTAGCCTCTTGTCTATTGCCTGGTTAATAATTCTGATCACATTCACTTCTAATTGGTGTTACTTCTGTGCATTAAAAATGTAATAAACTTAACAGCAACAAGGTTTAACTCAACCTCATTCCTGTATTACCATTTATTAGCCAAATTACAAGGTATTATTATTATTATTAAATTATTCTCATCAAATTTTGGTCGCCATCTTTCTCATCATCATCTTCTTCTTCATTATCCTTATCAGGCTCATTGGTACAGTTATTAATTCAAGTTATACCTGGTTGTCATCAGTTGAAAAGGTGAAAATGAAAAGTGACTTGGGTTCAATGTTATTTGAATAATATGTTAACCATATTTCAAGATTAATTCCTGCTCTTAACTTCAACTAATTGGATCGGAAAGTAATTTGACTCAACTCCATCTCAAATCAAGACTAAACTTTACCCAATATTTCAATTAGATGCGATTATCATTTAACTTTTGCTCCACTCAAAGTGATATACTTAAGAAACAATGACAATATTCAATGTTTCAACAAAATGTAATCACATTCGGTTAAATGGTCATTGGTTTTCGATCAACAATACTCAGTTAATCAGTTAATGGAGAAAGTGTAAAACTATAACGAAATGTAATCATTTTGTTTTATTTCAATAATCGTTGTTTCAAAGTAAATCACTTAGCCAAGGATTCAAGTTGATCAATATTCTGATCACAAATTTGAAACCATTAATAGGGCTTTTAGGTTTACGGTGTAAGAGAAATATGATGATGATCGAGAAGACAGTGAGAGAGAGGAAAAAGGTTATTTGTAAGTTGACAATGGACAAGATAAGACGTTGAAGCAATGGTCAGTTTACAGGGTGAAAAAAAATGATACCAGATATGTTATGATATATATGAATTTTTTGCAGCTCACCAAAGTGGGAGGAAAAAAGATGAAGAAAACACAAACTAGATATAAATCAAAGGAAGAAGAAGAAGATAATCTACTGTTAAAGAGACAGGTTAATGTGAATGACTACCAATGTCTATAAGTCTTGTTCATTATCATCATTTTCCATCATGTCATCTTTATTTCAGGTCATTTGTTGGTTCTAATGCTTTTTATGCGTCGTTATACCTTTTATATACACACACACATAATAGGTTGCTTTACACTTTCACTTACACCTTATTTTTGTTGTTGATAATCAAACATATGGATGACCCAAAAGAGTGTGTGTGAATATGAAGACCAAAAATGATTCAAAGAGGAAAAGTAAAAAATGAATTGACATTTTTCTTAGGTTAAAGGATAAGGAAGAGGAAATAGAGAGAGTTGACAGAAGATGTAGGATGATGAATTCAATGATGATTATTATTATCATTTGCTCTTTTTTAACTCTCTTGATGTTCATAATTTTACTGGGTTACATGAAATTCCACTTATATCATTAGGTAAAAGAGCAAGAGAGATGATAAAGAGTGAACAGGGAAAGACAAAGACAGTAAACCTAAATGAATATGAATCACCTTTGGATCAAGCCATAGTTTGTCTTTTGAGTGGAAGGATAAAGAGAGAAAGTGAATGTTACATGAAAGATGATAATGATTATGATTATAAAAGATAATAATTTCTGTAAGGTGAATCAAGATGTATACCATCTATGCATATATCCAGTTATATAAGTGTATATCATTTGGATAAATTGTTGTCTGAATCCTCCCAAGGAACAAAACTGTTAACCAAGCTTATTTAATAAACTGTGCATCCAAATTATCATCTCGTCCCTTGTTGTTGAGTATTCACTTTAAGAGCTAAAGTCCATTAGCATCTCATCCCTTTTGTGGTTCCTAGTTTTGGCTTTTCCTTTCCTTCCTTGTCTATGAATATGTGTCTTGATTCCTTCCATCCTTTTCCTCTATAATGGATTCTTCATTTAATCTTACTTTCCATTTATCTTATTTTTCCTTTTGCCTTTTTTTTAGGTTTTTGCGGTCACAGTTTTTTTCCCTTCGCTTGTCTTTGGTTAATCTGTTTGGCCAGTTAATAGTTTAAATCAATGAGATACTTGGAGTCACAAAGCAACTCAAAACACTTTTTGATGGACACTACTTGCAGCCAACTCCAATCATTTTAGCCGAAGAAAGCTTTCATTACTTCTAGTACTCGCCTTGGCTCTAGTACTTCAGATGAGTCTGAATTGAAGGAAATTAAGGTGAATTGAGTGTGAAAAGAGTCTAATTCGCACATTTGATAGATTTGATTCAATTATCAAGAAGATTTAATCAAATACTTACAAATCTGCTGATCCATTAGATCCATTCATAGGCAAAGTTTGGTTCGTTTAATTATTGAAATATGCTCTCAATATGAATCCATAGCATGGATACTTTTATCTAACAAACGGTTTAGTAATTGTCAACAACAATTAGAATTTCTCTTTATTTTTAATGTAACTGAAAAAATTAAATTAAACAATAATCTTGCAAATTGGCAACTGAATACTGAATACTAATGTACTTTGCCAAATAATTTTTGTGAAATTATTCTGAAAGATGATAAAAAAAGCGTGTAACTGTATGAATTTCAAAAAATAAAAGATATGGACCAAAACTCTTGAATCAATCGAGTGTTAATCAATAAAAAAATTATTCACATTTCAACTTATTACAAGAATACCGATTATTCAAACGAAAACTACTCGAAAAAACAAAGTTTCACTCGCATTGTACTTTATTGCAGAACATGCACCATGTAGTAAAAAGAGTTTGTGCTGAATTGAATTTTTCAATAGATTGGTTTGAAAAAAAGCAATTAGATATTTGAAGAATAGTTGGAGTTAAATGATAGACTGAAATAAGAGTCTAAATTAAGGAACAGTTTTGGAAAATTATAAGGTAATCTTTTGTTAGTGTATTAAGCCAGACTTATGCAAAATCCAATTCGATTCAGAACAATCTCGTTCTTTTCGAGTCAAAGTTACTTTGCAATGTTATGCGTTTTTTGTTTTACGAGGTTAGATATCGAATGGTACTAGATACTGTACATTTTCCCTTATTGTTATTCTGTTGATTCTCTTAAGATGGGAAAATCCGAGTCTTTTTGTTTCCGAATGGCTTTTATTTTCATTTTGTTGAATTATTACCATTCTTAACAATCAGTCTTAATTTCATTAATATGAGATGAAATTTTGTACAATTCAGGATGAGTTTCATGGTAGTCAGTCTAGCATTTTTAAATATCAAATAAGTAAGTTTTTGGCACTTGCCCAAGTTGATTGAGAGGGAAGAGATCGAGAAATGGATGTTTTTGATTTGAATTTGTTATAAAATTCTGGTTGAGATGCACAAATTTTTCTAAACAATTATCAGAAATAGTTGTAATCACTTCAGTTGATCTGATTTCGATTGTCTAACTGATTTGCTCAAAATTTGTCAAAGAATGGCTAATTTAAGTTCATTGATATTATCTGAGTGATTGGACGATATGATTGATGCTTCAAATGAATAAACAATATTTTCTGTTGAATGTAAATGAGTGGTTTTAGTAGTTAGCTACATATTATGGAAGAATGTCTGTATATTTTATAAAAAATCGACTATTTGGTGATTTTATGATGCTTAGAGCGTTCAAAAGCAAATCGAAACAAACAGAACAATTAACTAATTGAAACTAAATTCAGTTTAAAAAAACTGTAAAAAAATGATTCCATTCAATTTCAGTAATGCCATCTTACGGTAGTTTTTCAACACTCTCGAACATATGTTGCTCGAAAAATATTTTTGTTAATTTGTGTTTCTATATTTTGTTTTCTTTCTGGAATCAGCTTGTTTTAAATTGAATTTGGTTTGTTTTCAACATATTAATTAACTAATCAACCTCTATTTGAAGTCTTTTTCTGATTTATTTTTATATAATTATCAGGTAAGCCAGTTATGTTTAACCTTGTAACCTGTTCTATTAAAATTGATTTATATCTATTAAGCTCCATTTTAAAGGCTAGAAAAACTTGCTTATGTCAACCGTCAAATACATACGTTTGAATTATACCTGTTTTCTGCTAATTTATGTATCCTCTTTCTTCTATCTTCTATCTTCTTTCGTCATTACTCCTTTTCCCTCAAAACTCCCTTTTCTACATGTTTCTCTACACCCGTCTTCCTGTTTTACTAATATATCAAGTATCAGGTTGGATCAGTTTAATTATCAATATAACTTGAAGAAGAAAAGTTCTCAACTTTACCATTTGCATCTAACCTTAACCTCATTTTACCTGTTGCATTAAACTTTGTATTACTTCTGCTACAAAAGTTCTTATTTTACATTTTTGTTTCACAGTCATCTCAAGCAAAAACAATGTCTTCAGAGAGTAAAACTTTCGGAGCTGGTGTTGATAATACGGTTTATCTTGGATTCGCAAATCTCCCTAACCAAGTTCATCGTAAATCTGTTAAGAAAGGATTCGAGTTTACTTTGATGGTTGTTGGTGACAGTGGTCTTGGTAAAAGTACTTTGATAAACGCCCTTTTTTACAGTCAACTGTATAAGGATCGAAAAATACCGGCTGTTCAAGATCTCAATGAAAGCACGGTAAAAATCAAGCCAGTTTCTGTTGATATTGAAGAAAAGGGTGTAAAACTTAAATTGACTGTGGTTGATACGCCAGGTATGAATGATAATGATTCAATTGTTTTTCCTTTAATGTCATCCATTTTGATTCATATCCTTTTATTTTCATTTATCAATACTTCATCCCCACTTTTATTTATCTGTCAATCTTTCCATTTCACATTTTTCTATAGGTTTTGGGGATGCTATTGACAACACAACATGCATTCGCCCCATTATTAATTACATAGATGAACAATATGGTAAATTCCTTGAATATGAAAGTGGTCTGAACCGTAAACATATTGCTGATAGTAGGATTCATTGCTGTTTCTATTTCATATCCCCTGTTGGTTATGGGCTCAAACCTTTAGATATTCAGGCAATGAAAGCCTTACACACCAAGGTTAATTTGATACCCATCATTGGCAAAGCTGATGCGTTGACAAGACAAGAAATTACTGATCTAAAAAAACGCATAATGAAAGAGATTGAAGCCAACGGAATATCCATTTACACAGTGCCGGATTGTGATTCAGATGAAGACGAAGATTATAAAGAACAAATCAAATCGATTAAGGATGCAGTTCCGTTTGCCGTTTCATCTTCCTGTGATTTAGTAGAACTGAAAGGAAGAAAGGTCCAAGGACGTCAATATCCATGGGGTATTCTGGAGACAGAAAACCCAGAACACAGTGATTTTGTAAAACTTAAGTCTTTACTCGTTACTCATATGCAAGATCTGAGAGAAGTTACCCATGAAGTACATTATGAAAATTATCGTGAAATGCGGCTCACGCAGCGATCATCAAGTATCGTATCACAACAAAGCCTGGTCGAATCTATTTCATCTGCAGATGATGCTGATCGTATGTTACGAGAAAAGGAGGAAGAACTCATGAGAATGAAGCAACAAATTTTACAACTTCAAAGTGCCATGAAGCAACCATCCAATGGAATTAATGGATCTAATGGAACAAATGGAACAAATGGTCTGGACAATTAAAACAAAGTTGATGAATGAAAAAACAAAACACTATCATCTCTAAAGTCTCTCAACAGTAACAAGCTGTGAAAAACTCTTCCGAGATCTCATGCCGAATCAATTTTGATTTTTATGGAAAAAAAACCAAGTGACAAGTTTCGAAACTCATTTTAAAGAAATCTCTTAAACCTTTTTTAATTTCATAGGTAGAAAAGCTTGAGACTCATATTTTAATTACCGCCATAATAGTTTATTTTGTCTCATATGTTTTTTATTTTCAACTCCGGATGTTTGCCAAAATAACCATTTGATAATTAAATGAAATTTCCACTGACATTAAATACTTATGGTTATCCATAAACAATTGTTATGAGTAAAAATCACTTAATAATTTCATCAGTGAATTTAATAGGTAAAAATCAAAGCTAAGTCCAATACCAAGTATCATCGAAGGACCCTTTAGCAACATATTTTGAAAACAGCCCTGTGATTTGACAGAATAACCGCATTATAAATCAAATGAAACTTTCCAAATGTAGTTTATCCATTTAAGTTTATTTACATCTCCACAATAATAGTTTTACGTTGATGAATGTGACTATAACGTACAAATTTAATAATGCTACAAATCTAATGTTGTGTTGCACGAGCTCAAGGAATAATTCCACGAAGAAACATATCCTCAGTGTATGCTCTTTTCTTTTGCTGTGAAAATGAGAAAAATAATTTGTGTGAGGAAGTTTGTTTTATATTTGAATTGGTTAACTGTTTGAATTTTTTTATTCTTACCTGTATCTCTGGAGCTTCAGGATTTTCTTTTGCTATTCTATTTCTCCAAGCAGTTAATAAGGACGCAGGACTTGGTTCAAGTATTCCAGCATATCCTGAAATTAAAATATTGAGATGAATTGAGTAGAAAAGAGCACATTTTACACATTTTAAAGATCCGGTTCATGTATTAAAAACACTTACCTAATAAAGCTGATGTACCAGGCGATAATTTAGCACCTTTACCAAGCCAATAATTCAGCCTATCAATATCAACAGCAAATAAACGCTCATTATTTTCATTCGCAAAAATATCGAATGAACCTATCACCTCGTCAGGAACTCTACCGACTCTTTTCTTAGCTGGCAATACCGCAAGATGATAGAAAGGTCGATTAATGCATCCTTCTCTGACAAATCTAATGACGATTCCTGAAGGCCAGAAGAACCTACGACGCATTTTATCGAAAAACTAGAAAAACACGATCAAGTTCTTGCACAGTTAACACAATTAAAGTTGAAATTCGCAATTTGTAATTATTTTTTGTTTACCAAAAAACATGAGACTCAAACTTTGAGGCGCCACCTTTGAACAATAATAATGCTCATGAGAGAGAAGGATAAGACCGGTTTTTTGAAAAAACTATCAGAAAATTTATTTCTATGAATTTCTAGTTGATTTACAGATTTAAATATTTCACTTTGTATAATTTCATTTATTAAAGATTTTCATGATTGAAGAAGAGATGAGTCTTTTAATGCTTTTTTATTTTGATACAAAGTAGGAAGGGACATTTTTTACGATGTCAAAGACATTATGTGCTGATGCTCATCAGATCCAGCGAGTAATACTGTTCTTAGGTTATAAATACAGTCGATTCCTTGAAATTGTCGGTTCTTAAAATTGCCCATTCGATGGTCTCCTTATCTCGTATCAACCTCACTATTTTGTTGACTCCTGCCTTGACAATGACTTCAAGCAATTAGATATATAAATGAGATAGTAATCATTGATTAAAATTCAAGTTTATACAGTTCAACAGGTGAGGTTGCATGTAGAGTGAAAAGGCAATTGATTGAAGGTAAAGGAATCAAATGAATGCATTAAGAAGGATATGAATAATCAATGAAAAAAATTGGATTTGACTAATTCTATAGGTTATTGATACCAATTTTACATCCAGTTTAAAGTATTACCTGAATAAAGAGTAACAGCAAATTCAAGTGCAAAAAAATGTTGTGTTGGTTTTTGGGTAAAACACATTATAACTGGATTTTATTAATTTGATTTCATTAAATAATACAATATTTCAAGTGTAAAAGTAACAACAATTGATAAAATACATATTAAATAAACAATAATGTAATACTTTAATGTTTGATTAGTAAATTCATTTTGATAATTTCTAGAGCCACTAGAATAGCGTTTCTAGAATTCAAAGTAAATTAGTTGACAGTGCTAAAGGATTAACCTTTATCCAGTTAACTGTTTCCGCATACTGACAATTCGGTCACTTAGTGATTTATCTCCTGGTCCACATCTTTTAGCAACATAATCAAGAGCATCAACATCCTTGGCCATAAATGCTATTTTAGCTGCGTCCTCCAATAATCTAATAATTGAGATGAAAGAAGGGTAAAAGTTAATGAATTTAGCACAACTCTTTTACATTTGAATTACAGCTAAATTAAATGCTACATACCCAGTTTTAACATAGTAATCAACTTTGAACTCTTCTCGAACTTTGCCGACATATTTTTGAGCTTCTGTTCTGTTTTTGAATTTCAAGCAAGCAGATACAAATGGCTAAAAATGAAACAAAATAAAATCGGTATTAATAGTAAGAAATGGTATTTAGTCCTAATGTAATATTCAATTTTAATATACCTCATAACCAATTGGAGATTTTTTACTTTTGCTGAATTTTTCAAGTTCATTCCAATCCCTTTGCTCAGCTAAAATATTGATTTTGAGCAACCAAAATCTTCTATCGGGAACTTTGAAGTCTTTTTTCAAACCTTCAGCCAATTTATGCTCCTTATCGTATAATAATTTAGCCATAGTTTCTTGTAATGATAGACCAACAAAAGGATGCTTGAATTTTTCTTCCAATTTAATTTGATTCTCCATTAATTTTAATTGTTCTTCCGTAGCTGCTAAATTAAATTCGTTTTTCGCTCTTCTAAAACACTCTTGAGCTTCTAGTAAACATCTTCGACGATCCCCTATAGATTCATATCGATAAGCTTCTAAAATTTTGAGATAGGCACGAGAGCTAGAATCATCTTCCTGGATGCAAATATCATAGAGCTTTTCAAGATCCTCATTTTGACATTGCTAGAAAAAATAGGATAAGAATTAAATTTAGATTCGAAATGAGATGATAATCAATAGTAGAACATTAATTACCTTTTTGTACAAAGCATAAGCTTCTGGATGTTTACGTATTATTAAGAGAAAATCTTTTCTCGATTGAGTACTGAGAACATCAATGACCATATAAATTAGATCGGCATTACCACTTTCACTGGCTTTTTTACAGGCTTGCTCGTATTGTTTAAGTTCAAGTAGAAGTGGAACTTGTCTGCTTGCTTTTAGTTCGCAATTTAATAGAAGAATGGCTAATTCATCTCTTTTCTCTTTAATTGCTTGCTCGGCAATCTCAGAAAAAGACACACCAGAATTAGAATCAATTTTCTTGATAATATCTTGAGCTATTTCAGCGTCATCCATCTCCCTTAATTTAATCTTGTAGAAAGCCCAATTTCTTAATATCCTGGAAACTCCTTGGTCATCAGGTATTTTCAAGTATTTTGCGATTTTGATGGCTAGAAAATATTGTCTTCTCAGGACCAACCGATCAATGAGTACTTGGATAGAAAGATATTCAAGTTGATTGTAAGTAAGTAATAAGCCGACATTCTGCTGTCGGATTGTGTTGAGAATACGTAGGTTTCGACATATATTTACAAATAACTCAGAATCAGCATCTGGAGTGAATAATTTACCAAACGAAGCTGCCCGAAGAAGCATTTTCTCTGAGCTCACTTGAAATTCATGAGCTGCAGCCAGTGTACATTGAATCACAGCCGAGTTAATTTCATTTCGTTCACTTAATAACCTAATATATTCATTAGCTTTGTGTACTCTTCTCTCATATTCTTTATTGGCCTCCATCAGAAGAGCACCAGGAGCAAGAGATCCTATTTTGAAAACTTGAACTAGAGGGTCAGGAACTTTCTGAATAATCTCATTAGTGTCATTGGTTATAACACGTATACCATCAATTTCTTGAACTAAATGAACAGGTCCATCCATTAAATAATTTAACCAATCCTTTTCTAATCCAACTAAGAGTAAAATTTCTTTCCAAAGGCAAACAACGGCTTCATTTCCACACCATAGCATATATTCGGGTTTTTCTTCACATTTGGTAACAAACTCACAAATTTTTGATATAGTTCCATCATAAGAGCCAATCCAGAGAATACCAGTTTCAAGATATAAGGAAATATTCTTGTAATCATGGCTGAATGATATATCTATTACTGTCGATGTTCCCGTTCTTTGAAAAACCATAGATTCACATTTATTAGAACTGAGCTGGAACAAATTTCCATCCCTGGAAAACAATATTTTTACCTCGCCATTTTTACAAGCAATAACATTCCAACAACTCGGTGGTTTATCTGTTTTAAGCATCTCGTGATATTGTCGCACCATAGGTGAATCAATATTGTTTATAACGTAAAACTTTTGAGTTTCTGTTAAAACAGCGATACCAGTTGAATAAGGCCCGGTGAATATTTTACACTGGCAAACTTCAGTTTTACTGAGATCATCATGGATAAGGAAACTATTTTGAAGCTCTCCGAAGAAATCGTAAACATAAACATAGCCATTGTCTCCAACACAAACTAAGCTTTCTGTATTAGACCATCCCATGGCAATTAGATTAGATGTCTTAAGTCGAAGACTTGTAAAGTATTCTCCATAAGGAGTGAAAATAAAGATGATCGATCTAGCATTCTGATTGGTACCAGAAAGAAGTCTTACAGTTGCATTTTCCTTCTCGTGAGAATGAAGAGCTGTTAAAATGGATAGATTGTGAGTTATTAGAGGTAAGAAAATTTAACATTGAAATTCAAGAAGCAACAATCAATCTTTACCTATGTAACCAGAAAAAGGAGCAGCACATACTCTATACTTTGATAAATCAACACCTTCAGTGGACCAATTAAGAGAGCAAAGTTCAACTCGTCGATAAAAATCACGTCCAAGAGGATTCCAGTCAGCAGTTAACATAGACATCTTTATAATATTTCTATAAAACTTAACCAAAATTAACAATATAGAAAACGTTTAGATTGAAAAAATATTCATAAAATTAAAAAAATCATGATGTTATAGCTTAAACTTTAACTCATATCTTTGCAGTGACAACTTTCAGCTGATAATGATTTGTAAACATTGCAGGATCTGATACCAAAATAGTATCGGATACTAGATGTAACAGTTAGATTCCGAAGCGCGACTGACTCAAATGACAGTAAAGTTGGACTATCATAGACTGGCATGAAATAATTCAAATAAATCCAGACCTAATTTAACTAATTAGTTTCGATTATCCCCATTAGGTCAGCAGATCGACACAGCTAGCTGTAATTTTGAAGATGAAAAGTGAGCTGACGGAATCTCACTTACCCTTACCGAATGGACTTTTACAGCTCGCTAAAAGTCTGCTGAGTGGACGTCGACTTGACTCAATTATTTTAAAATCACGTAATATATGTCAATCATAAAGAATAACCTGAGCTTAAATTTAAATAATAACAGAAAGAAGTATTTTATACACTCTGTAAGGGATTTCCAGGTTTTATTTAATGCATTTTATTAATATAACTTTTCAATATAAAGCTCATTGCGTTCAGAGTTAATACAGTGAATAATGTAAATAAGACAATGTCAAGATTATTAAACAATTTTTATTAATTTATTTGAAGTTTACTTTGAACATCATAATTAGACAAATATTTTCAATTAGATACTGAAAGTGAAAAGGAAAAAGACCAGTTAAACTAATAATGTAAACCAATAATCAGTTGATACTCACAATCACAAAAACTCGAGAAGTCATATTCAGAAGTTCACCGATAGTAAACGCTATATCAGTCCTTGAAAGTCGATCTTGTAAATCAGTTCCCTGAAAAAATAAGAATTGCGTTAACTCTCTGTCTTTTTATTTTTATACATTGTATTACCTTTATAAAAGCTCTTGCACTCAACTGTAAACATCTAGTCGCCTTCCTTATTAGGTTTTTACAATAAGAGCTCATCTTAAAGGGAAATTGAATCAAATTAAAAGACCGAGAAAACAAAACAGAAATTTTTTTATACCATCGTTAATATAACTCCATTGGTGTATGAACAAGCTCCGATGGCCGCAACGCCAATGCTAGCAACAGCCACAATGAAAAGATCCATAAATTTATCAATATGAACAAAAATTGCAATGTACATCCCAAAATCTGCAGCAGCCGAAAGTCCGATGTACAAAAATATAAGCCAGTTTCTTAACTTAATATTGAGCTGTTCAATTTCATTCTGATATTGGATGATTTCACTAACAGTAGCTTTATAATGAAGCAGATAGTCAACCTTATTCAGAAGTCCTCTTTCAGCCGCAAGACTCTCTGCAGTTCGGGCTATGTGAGCAGCTTTAAAGTAAAAGTAAGACAAATGAACTGTTACTATGGCACCAGGCAATATCGTGTTGTATAAAGTGGAAACAATTCCTAGATAGTTGACGAAAATCCAAAAGCCAGTGTAAATAAACTGAATGGATGTTTGCGGTTTGTGATCCGCTGAATGAACAATAAAGATCAAGATTGGTGCAAAAGTAATTGCAATACAATAAACGATCCAAAGCCATGCATTTACTAAATTTATGGCGACAAAACGAAACTTTTGGCAATAACAATGATTCATGGACAAAACTTCACTTTTAATTCCGTTTTCATATATTGAATAGTACAATTTCAAAGTCTTAAAATGACCATTTTCAACCAAATATATCCAATAATGTCTTAAAATTTCACCTACAATGGAAGCATTCAACCAGAGAAACCAAAAGTAGCGACGATTCTGCTTACCATAAAAAAAGTCGCCAAGAACAAGAAGCCATTCATCAGGCAGATCAAAGACACTCAACAATGCCAAATGGAAGATATAAACACTCATTAGGCTGAAGTAGAGGATGGATTTTACTGTAGTCCATTTTGATGGAGTTACTTTTGGATCTTGGGAGAACCCATTCGGTAAAATATTGAACGAGATACATATTGATTCGAGTTTTTTTATCTTGCTAATTGCTTCGGAATCATCAACATCACTTGAACGAAATCCAATCACACGGAAAATCAATCTCGGTAAAGACGCAGTTAGAATTTTATTCACTCTTAGCATGTTCGATAGCTTTGACAGCAGCTTCAATTTAGATTCTAAAACTTGTATAGACTTTTTGGTTTTCATAAAAATATGATTTTAAATTACTACATAACGAAAGCGCATTGAACATATCAGATGCTCTAGCTTCTCTTCACGGCACCTGAAAATCACTTAATAATATTGAATTTCAAAATGTGATACTTTTCTCTGTCGTTTCATGTCAAAGTCAAGTAACAACGATGAAATATTGAATTTGAAGATTTTCGAATCAATAAGTTATTTAGTTTTTATTTTCTTCATTGCTTAAAAATGTCAATGGCAATCAATAAGTTCATTAATTAGAAATATACTTACTCAAAACAATTGATCATCAGTCATTAAATCTATTTAATCGCCAATTAAATCCATCCATCTCATCTCATGAATGTGATTGAATAATTTATGAATAATTCAACTTTAATTATTATAAAATTAAAGTAAACTGAAGTCATTAAAGTACAATTAAACATTTTATTGGCAATAGAGCTTAGCAACGATAGATTATCTGAAATCAGAAACTAGTCGTTATGCTACAAAAACTATGGCAATACTGACTTTTGACCCTAAAATGGTTTAAAACGTCAAATCTTTTTGATCAGAGTCAAATTGTTCTTCAATGGATGGGAATTTCACTCGTTATACATCATAGAAAATCCAAAATGATTCCTCTACTTTGCAAGATTTTTCTGAACAACTAAGAGCATATTTTTTGTTTGAATAAAACTTCATTGGTTATGACTATTCTCACATGGATAAACCATTGTTGTAATCGAAAGGAATTGTGCCGTAACATTGACTTTCGAGTTAAGAATTGGGACTTTGGGGATTTGTAGGAACATAAACTTTTCCCGAGTCACAGTTTTCGAGGAAATCGATGTCAGAGTTTAAATCTCGATCGAATTTAATAATACAAACAGATTTTTTTGTAGGATTTTGCCTGTTTTCATATTTCAATGCATTATAGCTCATAATAAAATCCAGCTTGCAATTTTGCTTGAGAATGATTATTGTAGGTGATACCAATCCTGGAACATTGAGGCTAAAAGTTTTAAGGCCAATGTACAAAATCAATAGAACTGTGGATGTAAGGAAAAAAATATTTAATTCATGATATGTATAACAATTTTTATGATTACAGTAATAGGAAAAATTACAAACGTGTAAGTAACTGAATTGTTTGAAAATGATTAAATTATCTTTTTCAATATTTAAATTAAACATTTCCTTTTTAATTCGGATCAGACTCTTACTATGGCTCTGACTTTGACTCTGATCGGGCTCTGATATGGTTCTGGCTCTGATTGTTCATCATTCACATTCAATCGGTTAATTTCCACAATTGGTTCATCCGTGGCCTCAGCTGGGTTGAAGGCATAATCAGGATTGCATTCACAAATAAATTCATTAGATTTAGACCGATTTACCTGCCTTTTCTGACTAATACTCTATATTGATTTTTATATTCATCATAAAGAATTTCGCCGATTCTGAGCGAAATCCCAATCAAGTTGAGCTCGTGCTTGAATTCTCCGAACTTTTCCATATAAACTTTACACAATCCCTCCAGCACGAGAGATTTAAATTTTTCAAAAGTTTATTCTGATATCTTAGAGGGCAGGACAACATAATTTATGTCTTCTGCATATCGCTCGAATGTGTTATGCTTTCTCGAAGTTGATAGATTTATCATTTTCATTCTTTTGACTTGAAAAGTCTTGTTGTTCGGACCAACACGAAAGCGTTTCTTCCTGGAATCTCCATCAGAAAATTTTATATTATAATAATCAACAACTTCCTCTATATCTTGATTTTCGTAAAGTCTGAACTCCTGACATAAATGATCGTTGGCAACATATGCAGAGTAAACTATTAAGAAGATAAAAAGAAAGAAAGAGAATAAAAAGATTACAATAATATTATAATCTGCAATCTTACATGGTTGGATCCGATCATTTGGCTGTCTATCATATCGTGACCAAAGAATAACTGCTCTCCAGAATTGTACATGCGTTTGGCAATAACGATGGGTTAATTATCGACAACAAAGCAATTAATGTAAATGTGTGAAACTTGCACACCAATGCTTTCAAGTTGGAATATGTAAATAGCGAAATCATTGTCTTTTACATTGATTTCATCTCTATAAAACATGCCTTCAAAGGCCACAAAAACGAGAAAGAAACGGTGTCGGGGATTAGAACCCTTTTACCCTTAGGATTAGAGGTCAGTAGTGGGGCGAACAATGTCGTGAAAGAGGAAAATAGATCTTTGTTGATCTCAAACCATCCTCCCAAGTGATGGGTGACGATAGCATTGGCATCACATTAAGGTTCAAGACGCACCGATATGGTGATTAGAAATATGTTTTAGACAATACCGGGCGTCTTTTTCTTTTACGCCTTCTTGCATGCATAGCTGCCGAACAAGTTAAGTTTATTCTTATTGCACAACCATAAGTTCACGTGCTCAAGGGTATTCAAGTTCAATTCTTTATTTGACCTCTGATTGAACTTGCAAGGTCATTTTCTGGAACATACCATTGGAAAGATGGAATGAATTTTTCCTGATTAGATGAATGATAAGTGATCCCTCATATCCTTTAGCCAGTATGAGCTATGAACATGTGACTAACACTATCGGGTCAAGAAAATTTTGCGATTTCAGAAAATGAACTTTCAAGGTCAATTAGAGGTCAAATAAAGAATTGACCTTGAATAACCTTCAGCATAATTGTGCAATTTGAATAAACTTATGGTTCAAGTCTGACGTCTGTAGCACTAACCGTTCGTGAGTTATGCCTGCATGAAGGCGTAAAATGAAAAAAACACCCGGTATTAGAAAAAACAATAAAACCAATATAAATCAAATTAACAAAAATTGTAATTTTTATTAAAAAATATTCAAAGAAAATAAGATTTTAACTAAATCAATAAATCTTCAGACAAAAAAGACAAATGGAAAGAGGACAAAAC